GTTGATGGATTCTGTGGTAGCTCCAATATCGCCAATCATTTTGCTTCAAAGTTCAGCACTTTGTTAATCTCTCGATCCTCACTTCTATCTTCCATTAAGCCCTTCCTGACTGTTTCAGATCTAAGTTCTGTGGTTTTATCGGAAGATCACGTTGCTGGGGCAATTTCTCAGCTTAAGTCACATAAATCTGATGCATAATTATGGTGTTACATCTGAGCACATAAAGTTTGCTGCACTTGCCCTAGCTAATCCTCTTACTTCACTCTTCACTGCAATCCTTCGTCATGTTTATATGCCACAATGCTTCCACGATTCAGTCCTTGTCCCTATCCCTAAATTAAGGGAACAAGGATGCATCAAATAGCTCGAACTGCTCTGTCCTCTAGCTTCAGCAAGATCCTTGAAAGACTGATACTCTACCAGTATGAACCATTCATTGCAGTTTGGCTTTAAACCTGGTCATTCGACTACTCTGTGCTCTGCCACTGTAAAGTATGTTGTTTCGCGTTATATTGAAAACAGTTCTCAGGTCTTAGGGTGCTTTCTTGATGCTAGGATCTAGTCGATCACAGTATTCTTTACAAAATTCTTGTGAATCGTGGTTTACCATTGGCAATTGTTAGATTATTTATGTCATGGTATATACAGTATGCAGAAGATGCAGGTACGCTGGGACTTGTCTGTTTCTGAGCCATTCTCTGTGTCGAACGGTGTTCATCAAGGTAGTGTCATATCACCTTACCTTTTTATGTTTACCTTGATGGTTTGTTGGTTGATTTCTGGTGTTGGTTGTGACTGGGGTTGTCCCTTAGCTGGTGCGCTCAGTTATGCTGATGGTGTTGTATTGTTGGCTCCTCGTGCCTCTGCAATGAGAAAAATGTTAGAGATTTGTTCTTTTTCTGCTTCACATAAATTTGAATGTAAGACACAGCTAATATGTTTCTATGCCCCATCAGTCCGTCCGATCACTCCGACCATCTACCTCAATGGAACTAACTCTGATAAGGTTGTACATCTGGGTCATCTCTTTACAAGTACTTTGGATGATACTGAAGATACAATGAGGGCTGTCAAGGATATAAATCGAAAAGCAAACTCGCTTCTATGTTCTTTTCACTTTGTTGACCCTCAAGTCAAAATGTCTCTGCTTCAATGCTATTGCTTATCCCTATATGGCAGTTGTCTTTGGTCACTCAATGCTCCATCAATTAGTATTCTTGAAGTGGCCTTTGACAAGGATCTGGCCCCTTGTTAACCCTCGGCGCGCATGCGCAGCGAGGGTTGGGTTTGTCTGTGTGTTAGGTATGGATGGTATCAAAAGCCAGGGAGGGAATTTGAGAATCCGTTGCAAAGCTAGAGCGCGAAAAAGCCAATATGCAAATACCCAACGGACGGGATGGCTTACCACAGTCGGATCGATCCGCGTGCTGTGCGTATATACTTCGGAGGCACCAGAAGATGCAACGCAGGGCGTGTATCGCCTCTCGCATACTATATAGTAGTGTAGTTAGCCCGCGTCAGACTCTGCGCGAGCAGGCAAGAGACCGCTTGTAACAGCTAAAACTACCCATCAATAGTGGTACGGCGCATGCGTTTACTTACGCGTGCGCTTCACAGTGCGCCGAGGGTTTGCACGTCATTCACACACTGCTATTGTTCATTGTGTCGCACAGGTTCAAACTATATTGTATCAACGTTTTAAATCCTTCCTGGTAAAAGCTCTCTCTTCTTCTAATCTCATCAGTACCATATTACTGAGTCTGCTCATCCTGTTAACTGCTTCACTGGTTATAATTTTCACTATGATCATATAAACGTTAGACGTTTTCATGATACTGATATTAGTATTGGATATGTAATCAGATTAGTTCGAAGTACTTTTGGTTTATTTTCAGACTTTGAGTCCCTTATTTCAAGAATTTCATGTCAGTAAAGTTTCTTTTATGTAGCTAGTCACTTTTGCAAGACGTATGATGAGGGGACCAGTGGCCGGTCCAGGAGCCCTTAAGCCCACGGATGGCGATGGGACAGAGTCCAGTCGGCCACTGGTCCACTCTCTGTGTTTCTTCTATCTCTCTACCTCTCCCTCTGTTTTTCATTTTATGTGTGCCCCTTTACTGGGGTGTATGACAACAATAATGAGAGCACTGAAGTGCAAACCCTCGGCGCATAAATTGGTGGGCTGGGCCGGCTATCACTAAGTACATATGCCGTTGACTCATAGTCTCCACACAAGTACGTACCGGTTTGTTTCGGGTTAGTAAGCTTTTGTGTGGTGTTACAAGCTGAGCATTCTCCCATGTGCATATTGGTTGGATTTCTAGCACAGCTGATGCACTTGTACACAGCTTCCAAGTTTTTTACACCAGAAACAGTAACTTCTTTGCAGATGCTCATCATCGGTATCTTCATCAGAGGTTGTTGGTTCCGGAATGTTCTCAACATCGCTGATTTCATGTCCTGCTGTTTTCTATGCACACTGACGCTCTTTTAGTGGCCTTGGACACTCTCATGCGTTTCGTGGCTTGGTCAGACAAACTATATTCTGCTTTTCTCTTACTTTGGAACACATGTTGGCACAGTTTCAGCTTTAGTGTACACTAGCTTGACATTGTGGGCAAACCTTGCTTGGAGGCATGATAGCCAGGGGATATAATTATAATGCGCATGCTCGTTTGCCGCGAGTAAAAAATGGCCGACGGAATGTACGCGTACTATGCTCAGATCTCTGCAACGGGGAATTTTGAGAGAAAACCGTTCGATTAAATTACGTCGTATCGTTTGTGGGACGAATATACCATCGAAAAGTGAGTTGGAGCATGGAAAGACAGACAGACAGACAAACCCAACTACCGTAACCTTCGCTGCGCATGCGCGCCGAGGGTTAATAGACCAGATGGCTCCAACGGCATAGTAGGTAGGTTTGTGAATTCGGCGTACCGTGCTTGTGCCGAGGTGTAGGCGCGTACCGTTGCCTTCACCGCCCACTCGAGCATCTGCGGCTGCAGAGAAGAGCAGCGGCGCCGAGCGAAACGGAACGGTAACACGTAAAACTGGGCCCTCCATGAATCCCGAGGAGGATGCGGTCCTGGGGTTTGCCGGTGCGCGTGATTGATGTCGCATTTTGCCATCAGAGATCTCCTTCCGAGCGCGCGCACTCTGGCGGCGATGTCGTCGACCGTGATGTACAACGAGCAGCTCTGCGGGTCAATCCCATCATTGACGCTATGCCCTTCGGGGAAGGATAGGTCCACGATCAGATGCCACTTGCTCTCCTCCCCCCGCTTGGGGATGACTCCGAACCTGCTGACTACGAGCGAAGCAAAGAAGAATGGCGCTGGGGTGCGCCGCTATTGCTGACAGGCGGAGGAGACTGAACTGCGAGCGTTGGTTCATCCCAATTTCTAACTTCGCGCCTTCGCTCGCGCGCCCGGCGGCGAGCGAAATGCGCCGCGCATGCGCCCTCTGGCCCTCCGAGCCTCCGGCCTTACTAGGCCTGAGGCTATTATGCTACAATTTTTTCCTATTATTCTATTCCGCACTTCTCTTCGATTCTACCCATTTGTTGTTCTATCCCTGCCCATTATTCTCCAGTTATTCCCAGGCAAAATCATCAAAAGGACACATGACAAATCAATGACGCTTATTATACTGTAATGACATGATTGATGACTCGACATAGTCTTGCAACGTGCAGGATCCAGACTCCTTGTCACTTTCTTTAGTTTGCCCTGAGGAGCTCGGTGTGAGGGGGGGCGGGGCTATCCATGTGCACGTGACGCTGCCGCATAACATCCGATTATTCCCGCATTGTTCCGGATTCTTACACTTGCCTATTATTCCAAGTTTTATGCCCGCATAATCGCCGCAGGCCTACGAGAGTCCTTACACCCCCGCGCGCCGCGCCCGGAGCTGCGATTCGCCTCTCTGATCTGGCCGCGAGCGTATGGCGTATCAAAATTCGGCCATAGAGCGCTCCCAGGACGTTCTACGTGTTAGACCGTCCTAGGGGTTCCATGAAATTCGGCAAACGTATAGAGCGTTCAAAAACGTACTCAGGACGGTCTAACTTAGCCCTAGCCCTAGGGCTAGCTGGAAACTCGCTCTATATGTTGGCCTAATTTTTTACGTTTGGCTTGCCATAGGATGGAACGCCCATACCGCGCAACTTCGTCGTCGTCAGCTAGCTATATATAGCAGCTAGCTAGCTAAACGTACGTCATTTCAAGCGCCGCAAGCACGCGCCGCCGCTGACGACCGGACGGGGGCGTGACCCTGGGGAAACCCTCGTCTTCGTCTTGGACGTGTGTAGTAGTTTCGTTGCAGAGCAGTCATTAGGTTTTTCTGCGCCTAAAGAAGGGAATATAATAAACTCCGAAAACCTAATGGCCGAACTGTCCGGGGGTAGCACAGAGTGGAAGTGCCCCTACCCCGAATGCGGGATGGGGCTACCCGGTGCACTGCCCGGGATGAGGTTCTGCCCCAAGTGTGGAAAAAACGTACGTCCAGGGACAGGAGCACAGCATAGTCCCCAAAGTAGCATGGAGTTTTCTATGGAGAAGACACCTTCGGTGGATAGACTAAGGCCAATGCGGCAGGAAGGACGTGATGATCAAGCATGTCAAGGGTCCGCTAGTTCACCTACACCATCTGGAACCACCGAGGCTTCTCCGGAAACAGTAACTGTGGCTCCTTCAACTTCAGAAACTTCCCTATCAGTAGTAACTGGTCAAAATCTTGAGATACAAACAGGGTTAAGTGGTGGAATATCCCAATCCCCACCCCCCAATGTTAAGACTGCTGAGAATGGGAGTGCTTCAGAGCCAGCTGTGTCCACAAGGGTAGACGAATATGAAACTGCAGTAGAGGAGACTGATGGACCGAATAGTAATCCAGCTGAAGTAAACAGTGCGGACGAAAGCTGTGGTAGCCTTGAAACAAACTATACTGAAAGACAGTTAACACCACAACAGGAAAAAGAAAAGAAAAACTGGGAAGCAAAATGCAAACTTGAGCTACAGCAAAAGGAGGAAGAACGACGGGAAAAGGTAGAAGAACAGAAAGAACAAGAAGCAGAAAGGAGAAAGAAGGGAGAGCATGAACTCCAGCAAAGAGAAGCGAAGAAAAAGAACAATGAAAAGGAGGACATTGAGTTGCAGAAAAAAGAACACCAGCACAGAGAAGGACACAGAGAGCAACAAAGAGACCAACAAATGCGGGAAGCAGAAAGGAAAAAGAAGGAAGAGCATGAACTCCAGCAAAGAGAAGCGAAGAAAAAGAACAATGAAAAGGAGGACATTGAGTTGCAGAAAAAAGAACTTCAGCAGAGAGAAGGACACAGAGAGCAACAAAGAGACCAACAAATGCGGGAAGCAGAAAGGAAAAAGAAGGAAGAGCATGAACTCCAGCAAAGGGAAGCGGAGAAAAAGACGAATGAAAATGAGGACATTGAATTGCAGAAAAAAGAACATCAGCACGAGAAGGACACAGAGAGCAACAAAGAGACCAACAAATGCGGGAAGCAGAAAGGAAAAAGAAGGAAGAGCATGAACTCAAGCAAAGGGAAGCGGAGAAAAAGACGAATGAAAATGAGGATATTGAATTGCAGAAAAAAGAACACCAGCACAGAGAAGGACACAGAGAGCAACAAAGAGACCAACAAATGTGGGAAGCAGAAAGGAAAAAGAAGGAAGAGCAGCGTAAAATTGAAGTCCAGCAAAGAGGAGAAGAAAAAACAAAAAATGAAAGGGAGAGAAAAGATCAGCGTGAAAAGGAACTTCAACAAAGAGAGGAACAGAAACAACAGAAAAAGCGAAAATTGACGACAGAACCTGGTGGCAATGATCCACTTCAGTCTGAAAGTGGAAGGAGGGGGCTTGGTAATGGGGGTGGTGGTGACAGAACGAACAGAGGAGATGAAAGTGATGCACATGGAAAGGGTAATGGTGCTGGTGCGGAACATGATGGTGGTACTGGAAATGGAGATGATGGTGATGGAGTGAGTAGGGATGCCAGTGGGGTGAACAAGGAAACGCCTGGTGTAAATAACCCTAATCAAACGGTTAGTGACTATGTAGATATATTCCAGGGTTGGATGCCGTGACCATACTGCATGTGGAAATGCAGTAGCTACGAATCACAGCAATGGTATATGCCCTGTGTAAGGATGGCACAGATCTCATGTTGTCCGCATACGTATCCCCTCAGAAAGCTATCTGTGCCAGCGCTTACGTATTTTCATTACCAGCCACACAAGAAGACCCACAAATCTTGATTAAAAACACGCTAGCAACCATTCACCTGCATAAGCCTAACGGGTTCATATGAGAATCTGTCTACATGCAATTTTTGTGTCATCATACTCTTCTCTTTCGAACGTATCCGAAGATGATGAAGTTGAAGTGGTTCTTATTTACGAAGCTTTAGATCTAGGGCCTTAAAAGCCCTGCTGCTTATTTTTACTACCTTCTTGGAGGGCATTGCCACAAAAAAACGAGCAGGTATTAGAAAATGAGACCACTGGGAAAATGGTCGTTGATAGCGCTATCTATGCTAGTTGGTAATTTTTCTCTCGAAACATCAAGGCGCTGTACCCACTATTTCCAGAAACCTGCTTAATCAATATAATATTATTTACTTGTCTCCTTTCCTTTTTTTACTGCATTCACATGCATGGTGTGCAATATAATGGGGATACTGTTGGGCATTATGCACGTAAAAAAGTGGCATTAGTGGCCTTATGTTTTTAGGGTGTCAGTTTACATGTTATTTCACCATAGTACATGAGTGTACCAGAGTTTCATTGTTAACCCTCGGCGCGCGTGCGCAGCGAGGGTTACAGGTCGTTCTGTCTGTCTGTCTGTCTGTCTGTCTGTCCGCGCGAGTTCCAGCACTACAGGCTACGCGGCGGGAAATGAGCGGCACCAATGGGTTGTGAACAACGAGGAGATGGATAGTAACGTGGCGATTTTCCTAAAACGACTGCGTTCCAGAGATATGGCGTGAAAACAAGCGAAAAAGCGTACGCGAGCGATCTATCGCACACGCGCGTGTTTGCCGTAGCTATTATTATCGTTTGCCGGAGCATGCGCATCTGTGAGTTGACCTTGGATGGTTCTTGAGTTTCTCTCCTCGGTCGGTGTTGATCTCTGTTCTCAATGGACAACAAACTGAGCAAGGTATGTCCGCAATGTAGCATAGCAGTTGACGTTAGACGAGCAGTTTGTGGATGCGGCCATGCCTTCCCATCTAAGCGTAAAGCGCAGTCTGGCACTATATCCCAAGCAACATTTTTAGAAAACACAGAATTTAACCAAGTTTTAAAGGTTCACAAATTTGGGAGCGTGTAATACTATCCATACTACAGGGGTGACAAGTTGGTGAACCTATGAGCCCTACATTCCTAAATAATGGCTATCAAGTTTCGTCTGGTTGCTCAAATTTTGTCTACAGCTTAATGACATAAAAGTGCTGAGTATTCAGCAAGAACAATATAAAGGCTGAAACGACTGCATTGAGAGACAATATCACGAGCAATAAATAGACAAGACCCACTACCCACTGAGATGTAGCCTAGCCTGTGTTAGGCGACAACTGGCTCCTTCGGACGACGCACGGCCCAGCCCACCTAGCTTACAAAACAACAAACGTGCGCATTTTGAGCCGAGGGTTTGCACTTTAGTGCTTTTCATTATTATATAGGACCCGGCATAAGCTATGTATAGGCGCATATACCATTTACAAGTTTTTATTGGCTGAGGCTATTGGTACCCTCGGCATGCATGCGCAGCGAGGGTACTGTAGTTGGGTTTGTCTGTCTGTATGTCTGTCTGTTACTCTCAATCTCACTTCTCGAGTGTTCGTTCGTCTCACAGTTCGCCGAGGGTTTGCACTTCAGTAGTTTTCATTATTGTTGGTTCAATCAACTCTTAATCAGTGTATTAAATTTCATGTTGGAGGACCCACCATAAGAACGTTATAGGCGAAAAACACCATTCACAAGTTTTTATTGCCTGAGGCCATTTTGTTGTTGTTTACAAACTTGTAGTTTTTGTTTTGACGAACCTCTATCATGGTACATAGCTAAGTGTACAGAGTTTGGTTGTTAGGGGGCTCAAGTTATAGCTTTATTGCCAAAGGCTGTATGTTGTTGTTCACAAACTTGTTTTGATGAACACTTATCATGGTAGATCAGTGTACAAAGTTTCATTGTGGGGGTTTCCACCATAAGAAAGTTATAGCAATAAGCACCATTTACAAAGTATTATTGCCTGAGGCTGTTTGTCGTTGTTTACAAACTTGTGATGTTTACCTTTTGATAATGGATGGATTGCGTATGTGTACAAAGTTATATCACTCTCTTAGCACACTTTATTGGTCTCTATCAGTGTGTAGTTACCGTCGAATCAGTGTCTAACTATTTTAGAGTGAGAGCGCCATGTTTAGTGCTCTGGCTTTCCTGTTCGTTCGTATGGTGGAGCGCTTCTAACAATCAGTCGATGGAGTGCCAGAAAAAGCAGTGCAAGAAGAGTGAAGTGGCTGAGACGAGCGATAGTTACTCCGCCTTATTTAACTGGTTGTGCGCGTGATGGTGTGCGCACCGGGGGGTCTGCGCGTGCGCGTGCATGACGCGTCAATGTGTAGATTCAGTTGATGATCTTGTTGTTTACATGTACAATTGTTGTGTTTTCTTGTTGAATCTGTAGGTTTACTATTTTGCTGTAGTAAACCCGGTCAAGGACTCGGGGTTTACTACGGGAAATATTATAGTAAACCTCGGCTTTGCAATCTGATTGGTCAATTCGAACCTATCTTACTCTAAGTACTACCGTACATAGTGATAAGCGTTACCATTGGCTTTAGAGCTACAAGGGCATTAAAGAGAAGAAGCTGAGAAGCTGCCAGTGCAAATTTACACATCAGCTTGTTAACCCTTGGTGCGCATGCGCAGCGAGGGTTACAGTACTTGGTTTGTCCATCTGTCCGTCTGTTACCACGTTTTCTGGCACCACGCGCAACAAACAGGTAAAATAGCGACACCAACGGGTTCAGCGCTACACTGGCTTGATTTTTAAAATGGCGATTTTCGTAAAGCTGCCGCATTCAGAAATTATGGCGTGAAAACCAAGTGAATAAGCCAATATGCTAATTAGCACTAGCTTACCTCGACCTGATCCGCTTGCTTTGTGTACCTCGGAGGCACAAGAAGTCACAACGAAGGACGTGTATCGACTCCCGCATGCTATCTACTAGCCCGTGTCAGACTCTCCGCGAGCTACTAGCGGGAGATCACGGGTAAACACAGACTAATAGGCCCAGCCCATCATTTAGAGGTACAGCGCATGCGCAGTTCGCCGAGGGTTTGCACTTAGTGCTTTTCATTTACTTGGTATTAACGCTGTAACTTTTAAACACAGCATTTTTTGGAAAATCACCTTTTCTGAATCAAACCGCTTTTTGCATAGCTTGTTGCGCGTGGTGACAAAAACACGAGACAAGACAGACAGAGTGCATGCGCATTTTTAGTTAACACTTGGAGGTCGACACCTTATTGCATTCATGCGTTTTTGTTCATTTTTACATGTTATGATTGGCATACCTAAATTACCTGAGTGCTCAGCAATTTCCCCACTTGCTAATGCTGTTAATATATTAATATGTAATGTTAAAATAAATATAAGGCATTCCTGCATTGAAATGACTAGGTACGTAGGCTCGCTTTGCTCGCCAATTATAGGGATTAAACAGGTTATCCTATTAGGTTCTTATAACATTTTACTTCGAATTTCAATCAGATCCCACTTCTGACATATGAATCTGATCCGTATGGTAAAATAAGCATGTACGTACCTACCAATTAATTTACGTACATTTTTTAAATTCGCACCTCTATTATTCCGTTATTAAAATAATTCGTGGGTCATTTGAAAAAATGCCCCTGAGTGTTGTACTTGTTATCCTGAGCTGTATGGACATGAGAGAAGGCCAGAGCTGTCTCTAAAGCATGATGATAAGTGTACACCCATGATACCACGCCTAACTTGCAACTACTCAAGATACGTAATGGCTGGGCAGGCAAGTATGTTGTAATTGATTCGCTATGTGCCTGTCACTTCTCATAGCATCCATGATAGTACGTAGTTGAAATCGTTGTGTGGCATCTTGGCGGCTTGCACGGGGGAGCCTAGGAACATGGCTAGAGAAGGGAAGGGCATGTGCCCCAGCTATGCATGATCAGGGAGGGGAGACCAATATTTTTCCTCATGGCATGCTTTGTTTGCTTCTTTGTGTGATTTAATTTACGTGCAGGCTCAGCCTTATAGAAAATCTGAGTCTCCAGGTGATCTTTATTCTGGTACCCGAAACAGTAAGTCACATGCAGAGGGTGCATCAAAGACTGCGTCTGCTCAGGGAAAAGGTATTCCCCCAGCAAACTAAGGAGAAGCAGCAACCAAAGTTTAACTACAAAAAACACCCCCTGTAAGCGCCTCTTTGTTGTGTTTGTGTTAATTACATATTCTGTTTATATTTCAGTGGAGATTCTAATGTTTTAACGGGTTTAAATTCGAAGCGATACATGTTGGTGACATTCCACTGTATTCTACCAAAGCTGTTGTGGGAGTGGAATGAGAAGTCCTGTGTGTACATGAGGTTTGACGGATTGGCTCTAGGAGACTGGAAAGTTGATGTAGGAAATTTCGAAGAACACCGGTTTGTTATAAGGTTTTTGTGCTATTTTTGTTTTTAAAAATATGGTTTGTTTTAAAGGAAATTAGATGAAGGTGTGTATGAAATGACATGTACATTGAAAATAGCCATGGATATTCTGACTACTCCAATGGGGTACAAATATGTTATTTATTCTCCAAAAATGGCAAATGAAAATGACTGTTTTGAGTATTTACATTCATTTGTTCCCCGCTACCGAAATCCTAACCGATGCTTGATTATACATCCAGCCGATCGTCGTGATGGTATGTTTTATTTTTAAATGAAATAACGAATTTTAAGAAGTATTTTAAACCTCAGGAAGTGAATATCGTCAGTATGACTTCTTTGTTTATCCTGAGGCACGAAAAGTAGAAAAGAGTGTTTTAAGTCAAGCATGGGATACCGGCATTGGTATTTTAAACAAATATGTCCTCAATATCCAAGAGAACACTGCGACCGAACAAACTTTTACTGCTCCCCCTACTGATGAGATGATGAAGCGCTGCCTCTTGTTTTATTTGGAGCCCTACCAGGATGCTCTTTTAAATGAGAAAGGCTATCCGAACGATTTCAGCGTGGATGGTTTCATAGCTCAAGTCAAGCACATATTTAAACAACATCATAAACCTGTCGTTCAACATGGTCAAAACACCTATGCCATTACAGTTGACCTAAAGGATGTAAGTTTTGTTATAAAAGTGTTTCTGGTATATATCGCATATCACTTCACTTACTGCTGATAGGTTTTGAAAAAGTGGCTAGAAGAAATAATAAAACACCTTGAAGGTGTTGGTAACCCACTCTGCCGTTTTTATCGTCTGTGTGTATTGCAACGTGTTTTTTGGATTGTCATGTCTCCCAATTAAATGAAGTTGAGTGTGTCTACCCACTTTTGAGAATGCTTCACATCCAACCCAATGTGGAAACCCAAACATGCCCTAATGTTTTGTGTCTGCGAAGTATTTCAAGTATAACATGCCGGTAAGCAAAATGGTTTGTAATTTGTATAATGATTGTTATTATTATTACTTGGCAGAGAAAAAGTACAACAAGCTGTTTTGCAGCTCTGCAAAAATGCCATGAAGTTCAAGACAATATCAGAGCCCTGCTTGGACTGGCTCTATGTTTTGCCACTCTGTCACTTCCTCTCTGTGCCATTCAACCTTTTGCAAGCCTGGAGTATAACCCAAGCCACCTTGACAGCCTTCGCGCAGAGAAGTTTGGTTATGATGAACTGCGCAGGAAGCTAAAACCGGGGTATAATTATAGTGACTAAAGACTGGCAATATGCTTACATGAGGGAAAGGGGAAGACCAGCTTCTTTCTTTTAGTTGTAATTCAGTGTGTAGAGCATTGTATTCATAGTCACGAAGCTTGGGTTCAACTCCTGGCCGCGCAGTAGTTGGTTCTTTCCCTGCTTGCTGTTATGTTTCTACCAGTCATTAATCAATAAAGTAAAATTAATGTAGACTCTTATTAGAGGCAACTGCCAGTCACAAGAGGTTGTTGCTTGGGTTGAAATTGAAGGCGGCATTCTTTGTTCTCATAGTACGTATGTATGTCATATAGTATAGTATAGTCTTAGTTCTAAAGGAGTCTTAATCCTTAGTGGGTGCCTGCTGGGACTACAAATACACAAAAACAACGAATCACCAACAGACGTTTTATTTATTCGTGATTTCAGTTTCTATATCTATGTTGGTCTGGAAAAGGAATTCCGCACATCTAGATGTACTATGGTTTTCTAAAAGTGTTTTATTTAGCAGCCATTTTGTCAGGTGACCCTGATATGTCTTGATAACTAGCATAGAGCTAACCCTTTGCAAGCATGCCAATCCAGACTTATAGTACTTGGGTTTGTGTGTGTCTTCATTTCTGCCACCATGCACAAATGAGACACAACATACATACACTGGCTTGATATCGTATGTACTACTGCATTCAAATAGCCATTATGGCAGTACAGTGCTCTATAGGAGTGTGTGTCCAAATCAACTTTACAGGTGCAAATTTTGTCTGTTTATTGCAGTGACTAATAATTTTGCACACATGTAGTTTTCATAGTATTGGGTACACATGTATTGTTCGATGGTTTAGCTGCCTACAGTTCAGCAGACCTACCAAGTTTGTAAACTAAGTTGGCATACCTTACATAATACTGCATAATGCAGAAAAGAATGACACCCGGGTCTCCTTTTACAGGGACTACTACTTGCATTATCCTACATGCAGTCGGCTTGTGTTAGAGCGAGAAACTGACTGTTGAAAACATAGAAGTGCCACGCTTATGTCCACGTGTAAACTAAGAGGTAGAAAGGCAAAGGCAAAAGCTGGTAGAGGTTCAAATCTCCAACACGACAAAGGCAAACCTCAAATCACTGTGATATAGTACAGTATAGTCTCACTCAGTAGTATGTACGCTTGTTACACAATATTTCCACACGATAATCTACTCATGCATTCAGGATTTTGAGTTATGTTTCAGCAGGCACATTGACGGTTTGTAAGAGTTTTATTTCGTAAAACCTCTGTAATCAGAATAGTTTCAAATTATTGAGGTTCCGCTGTATTATTATTTCTTGATTTATAAATCTTTTGTGCAGGTTTGTGGATGCTTTCTATACTATCCTGCAGCCTTTTTTTCCTGCTGATCCTCTGTTGCTCTATGACTTTGTGTACATTTGCCCTGAGGCCGATTTTCAGAAGCTCTTTGACCAAATCCCCATATTTCTCTCTCTAACTCATCTATCATCTTATACACCACTCCCCCACTTTAGTTCTACTGTAAGTTTAAAGCGGATGATGTCTGAATTGTGAATATGAATGTTTTATCTCTCAAAGGCTTCAAGTTGGATGGTGTGGCTTGCCACTGTCAATGAAAGAGTTAAAACAGACACTTTCAAGTAAGTTGTTTAACCTAGAAACACACTCAAAGCACACACAGATTACGAGTGGATTTCAGCACTCAAAAGGTGCAAACTAGGCTCTAGGAGTTCAATCACTACCAAAAATCAAAAAAACGGAAAAATGACGTACAGCAATGTGTGTACCTCGAGTGCCTGGGAGCTGGGTTCACTGAAGGGTCATTGGCAGTTATTTATAAAATCACGCTATCGTTTGAAAATAGGCTGGCAAAGTCCCCCAGTGGTAGTTTTTTACTTTCTGCAATATACGGCATGGATATACGTACAAATAGCATTAATGAGTATACCCTTGTATTGTATAATAAGTGAATGAATAATTAGTGCATAAGAGACAAAATGTATCTGATAAGTAGGTTTTTGAAGGCCATTAGAGACTGAGCATCTGTGATATGGTTCGGTAGTGTGTTCCAGACTGCACAGGTCAGAGGTACGTACATAAGAGTATTTCAGGGTGTTGATTCTTGCAAATGGCTGGGTGAAGAGTGAGGTTGATCTGGATGAGCGGAGATTTGTAATGGAAGCTAAAGTTTGGAAAAGTGTGTGGTAGCTGGAATCTTGGGAGAGAGAGGCTGCTGTTGATGGATATAAATGGTTTGGGAAGCCTCATAGTTGTAGGGATTGGGTTCTTGGTTCGGTAATACCATGCAGATGAGGTGGAGTTTGTTAGTATTTTCTAGTGTGGGGGGAGCGTGTGAATGAAGGATCACGGCGGGAGGGATGGGATGCAGTGTACGTATGTACGTATGTGAAACAACAGCTCATGCTTGACTTACATACTATACACAAAGAAGGAAGAGGAAGAAAAGTTAAACGCTTCTGGGGCTTGATATCTATAGAGATGAAGAGCACTAAAGTGCAAACCCTCAGCGAACTGCACATGCGCCGTACCGCTAATGGATGGGCTAGGCTATGAGTATGCGTTACTCCTGGTCTCCATACTCTTAGCTCGCGGTGGGCTAGCTACACCAGTAGATAGCATGCAGGAGTCAATACACACTCCCTTAATGTGCCTCTAAAGGTACACAGAGCGAGCGGATCAGGTCGAGGTAGGCCAGCACGATTATGCATATTTGCTTTTTTTGCTTGTTTTCACAGCATATCTCCCAAAGGCAGTCGTTTCAGGAAAATCGCCATTTTATTTTTCCGGCTCGCATAGCCATTGATATCATTATTAGGCTGCCTCAGACTGTAGTGCCAGAATAAGTGTCGACACACACAGACAGACAAACCAACTACTGCAATCCTCACTGCGCATGAGTAGCAAGCATCCTACACGGACATGGTAGTGAGATATAAAGATAGTAATTTCAAAATTGTACCCATTAACCCTCGGCGTGCATGTGCAGCGAGGGTTGGTTCATGAGTGTGTCTGTCTGTTAAAACATTTTCTGCCACCACGCACAATAAATCGGCCAAAGAGTGATAGTAATGGGTTCAGTGCTACACTAGCTTGAATGGGGATTTTCATAAAACTACTGCGTTCTAAAGTTATGGCGTGAAAACCAAGTGAATAAGCCAGTATGCTAATTAGTACAGGCTTACCTCGACCGGGTCCGCTTGCTCTGTGTATCTTGAAGGCACAAGAAGTCACAATGAATGCACACCCTTCGTTGTGACTTCTTGTGCCTTCAAGATATTGACTCCCGCATGCTATCTGCTACTGTAGCTAGCCTGCCACACTCTCCGCGAGCTACTAGCGGAAGACGACAAGTGTAAACTCATACTAATAGCCCAGTCCATCAATTAGCAGTACCATAGTTCGTCGAGGGTTTGCACTTCAGTGCTTTTCATTTAGAAAGCAATAGGAAAATATTTAGGCATTTGTTTGTGGAGGAAAAAGGGTAAGAGGAGGGGGTTAACAACATGGAAGAATAGCACCAGGTGTCAGGTATACATCCAGAAGTCAGTTGTGTTGTCCATAGAGGTGTATGGGGAGAATTCGTTCACCCTCATGCAAATTTATATACGTACCATTGAGGTTGGAAGCATAAGAATAACACAATGGTGCATGATTAGCTCATAGTGTGGAAATTATTCTAGCGAGTCCACTGTACTCTTGAACATGAATAGACTGTAGTACAAAGGGCCAGCAAGAGGTGTGAATTATAATTGTGTAGGCCCTGGAGTAGATACAGGCACTTTTGCTCTGGCCATGGTAAGACAATACCTGCCGAAGGTTGCGGCAAAACAGAGCATCCTGGTGCTAGCTAGTGTATTGTACCAAGACCCTGCTCAGACTACAGAGGATATATACTTACGCTGTCGACAAGGGAGAGTTGCCACAGCTTTACTGGTCATGGCAGGATCACCGGATGCAATGGTGACCTGGTTTGGTCGAACAAGGTGAATTGCTCGTGAATGAATACTGTAGCACCTTCCTCTCCTGCACCATCTGTGGCCCTTGTGACCATAGATATCTTGTAAAGATTAAGTATGGAAGAATGTTCGAAGCGGTAGAATTCAGCAAATGAGAGAACCCGATTCGGAAATAATTGCTATCTAGCACCACTGCATGGGCTTAATGAACAATTAAGGTATGCCATTACTCCTATTACGTAGCCTCCACTCCTGAATACTGTAATTTCAAAATTGTATCCTGTGGTGCCAATGTGCAGCGCTGACAACTATGTGAACTGGTACAAAAACCCTTGCTGAGCATGTTCATCATTAACCATTCCGTGAAAGAATAATAGTCAACCATTTTTAGCAACAGTATTTGCTATTTTTCAATAAAGCTCAGAGTATGCTGCTGAATAGGTGAGTTGGGGAATAATACACCTCCAGGATATTGTAAAATAGACAGGACCCAAACACAGACCAGGCGCTGTAACCCTCGCTGGGCATTCAGACTAAGGATTATGTGCTTGTGTTCGTGTGCTCATAACGCATATTGTGGTCCTCTTAATATGAATGTTTGCATCTATCACTATAGGAAAGAGGATTGTGTTGCCACTGTCAATGCAGCAATATTATTGATGAAACGTCTTTTCTCTGAGTTGAATGTCCAAGAGTTTCAATTAGAAGTTCTTAAGTTGGCTCTCACAGTTCTGCTATACTCGCTATGTAAAATGGATATTCTTGTTGCCCGAAATGAACTCAATGAAACTCAGTTAACTGATGTTTTTGGAGTGTGCGAACTTGCTCTTCAAGAATGGGTGAAGCGCAGTGAGGTAGTTGGAGGGATCTATTTTGGTAAAAGTGCTCAAAAAGCTACCATATTGTTGTATGGATCAACTGAATTAAAGGTTATTAATCCTACTTATGTTTTTTTCTTTACAGCCTGTTTTCTGTTTTCTTTCTTACAGCTATGGTTGAACATATCATCCCTTGAAGTCCCACAAAACAGAAAAGTGGCTGATGCTTGGAATACAAGTGTTACAAGGGTGATTAAACAAAGAGTTAGTAAGGTATAATCTGTGTTTTTTCATATGACCTGGAATGATTTAATCATTTTACTATAAAGGTTCCAGACAGCAACAAGATATGGCTTGTGTACATGTTGGAAGAGGGAGAGAGTAAGGATGTTCATCCACTTATATCTGATGTTTTTATGGAAGCTGCTACGGAGGCTATTGACAGAATGACAGATGTAAGTTTTTAGTCCTCGACACGCATGTGCAACGAGGTTGCTTTGTGAATGTCTCGCTCTGTCTGCTACCACTTTTTCAGCCATTACGAGCAACAGTCCAGCCAATACCGATGCTACACTGCTTTGATTTTCAAAATGGCAATTTTCGAACATAATTATAGACTGTGTCTAAAAGTTATGGCATGAAAACCAAGTCAACAAGCCAATTTGATAATCTCCTTGACTGTATTCCGCCCGTTGTGTGCACTTTGAAGGCATCAGGTTACAATGGAGGCCAATTATCAAGTATTTCGATGCCTCCTATAGTTAAAAACTACGACGGCGTGGCCTGGTCCATCAAAGAGCTGTACCATGCACGCATACACTCCACGTGCGTGCGTTTTGTGCATTAATGCTTCTGATTTTTACTCTATTTACAAGTTTTATACCAATCCAGTATGGGAACCTTCCAGAATTTGGCAAGTCTGAAAGAATGGGTAAACTGTATGGACGGATATTTCTCAAGAAGTACCCTCAACTGGGAACAGATTCTTTTACTGTCTGCTTGGATGACCTGCTAAGCTGGCCTTATTGGGCCAACTTCATCAAAATTTACAGTATGTTGTCTTAACCCATTCATTTACCCTCGGCACGCATGCGGAGCGAGGGTTACTGTAGTTGACGTGTGTGTCTGTCTGTCTGTCCGTACCTCGACATGATGAATCGCTCCACAAACAATACCACGCATTCAGCGTCGGATAAAGGTCGAAAGATATGTGGGGTTTTCTCTGAAACTGCTTCGTTTGAGAGTTACGGCGTGAAACACGAGCGAAAAAGCCAATAGCAAATTACAACTAGCTTACCTCGACAGCATTCCTCCTGTTCGCGTACCGTAAAGCCAACAGCAGTTACCAATGAGGGTTTTTGAGTCTCGATATGCCTAAAACACCATCTAACCCGTGTCAGCATTAGAGTTCGCTAGAGACCGCAACACGAGTAAGCGTAGCCCAGACTGCGGTACAGACACGCGCATGCGCAATGCAGACATCCGCGAGCGTCTTTATAGTGCTCTGAGGGTTTGCACTTTAGTGCTTTTCATTGTGTCAGTATGCTTATTCCAAATTACAGGTGGATCTTCTAAGGCAAAGGATGGTTTGCCTCAAACTTGCAAGCATGCATGTTCGTATGCAATATCCCTCCTTGATGAAGTTTCCCGACAGATCAGACAGGGTGATATCACTATCAGAGAGCTTAAGAAGATTCATAGTAACCTTCAACAGATTACTCGATTGTATCGTTCCGTACTAAAAGATACTGAACCAAGTCCAGAAAGTGGTTCAATAAATTCATGTGTAAAGATGCGATTAGAGGAGTTCCAGATATTCCAAGAAGAACTTGGACACCTGCAGCATCTTTGCCACGTGATACCTCATGCTGTTATTGGTAAGATAATGTTTCCATTTGTCTGTGCATAAATCCTTGTTTAGGAGACTTTTAATGTTTGGTAGTAGAAATTTTAGACTGATTGTGCTTTTCTTGATAGCAGTAATGGCCATTTTCATGCTTGGAGCTTCAGTTGTATTTTTCACGTGGAATAGATCGGTAAAATTTTCACAACAGTGCAAAAAGTGTATTCTGAGATGTGTTTGTGTAACCATAAAACTTGTTCTCTTTCCTGTACTTCTCACATTTTGTGCTTTGTGTCTTTCTTGCACTCACCCACCCTCTGCTATCTATGTTGAGATCACTGATTTGAGCAGATTTAGTGAGCTTTTGGCTAGGTCCTTTTGACCAAAATGTTTCTTTACATGGTTTGCTAGTCGTTATAAGTGTGAAAAGGTACCTTGAAATGGTTAGTAGAAGAGAGCAGCTTTAATACCCTGTTGAAAACAAAATGGGTAATAGCAGCTTGTTTACTGCAATATAATGTGGATTGCTCAAAGTACTGCGCTCGAGAGCTACGTATGGATGGCGTGAAAACCAAGTTAACAAGCCAATATGTAAATTAGCACAGGCTTATCTTTGAGACACCAAAACTTACAATATTATGGAGTCCCGCATTATCGACTAGCCAGTGTCTGACTCTTAGAGCACAATGAGAGACGATAACAGGATAGCCCCGCCAATCAATTAGAGGTTCTGTCCCGCGCATGCGTATTGGTATCAACACACACGTGCATTAGCCGAGGGTTTGCACTTTAGTGCTTTTCATCCTGTAGGTTTTTTTGTGTGTTAAGAGAAGATCGAGTTAAGGATGGGAAGGATTCTCCTTCCCGCTATTAAATAGTTTCTAGTTGATGTGTTTGTGATGTGTTTGTAATGTGTCTCTAGGGATTCCAGAGGCTGATGCAGAATTGCAGACGACTTATGAGGAATTCAGGATCAATGCGCTCTGTGTTCGGGACGAATCTGGTACTGTCAGTGTTGCATGTTTTGTCAACGCTCGTCCCCTTGCTTCTTTTGCAAAGATGTTTTATGTGTTGACAAAAAGACAGCACAGTAGCATTTTTAGTGCCACATGGTCTGCTACAATGAAACAAGCCAGAATAAACAATCCGCATCTAAGCACAAAAGATCTTGAGTTGGAGGTGTGGAACCCAGCATTTAGCCATTGTGAGAAGCTGTTGCAAGAGATGTACGAACTAACCATCACTCTTGGTGATGTAGATAAACACTTTAAAAGCTATAAGGAAAGTGATATAATTACTCAATTGAACCTCCTCCTTCATGGTGTGAATGAGTGTAATCAGCTCATGTGCTCAATACAAGGGGTTGATCAGCCACTACGGAACCGCTGGATTCCACGTTCGGTTCAGAAAATAGTGGATTATCGGCAGCTGTGCTGTTATCGCGATGCAGCTGACTCTTTCCTGAGGCTAAGGGTTGTTCTAAACCTTTCAGGAGGTGATTTCAGTGACATAGAAAAGATATCAAGAGAGGTAATTAATGAGATGCTATAGCAACAGAAAAATCAATATGCATAAGAGTGGGCATGGTGTATACCTACCAGTTGGCTATGTTAGTACTTTTGTTTTTGTTAATCTCTTAGATGAACTTCCCATAACCTAGAAACTAAACTTACAAAAACATTTGTGAGAATGTAGATGTCTTGACACTGTGGGACTGGCAAAACTGTAGTTCAATATCCCATGCCCCGCTGTATAGATTATAATGGGCACTCTTGTGTGTGTGACTCACAAGCAGTTGTAAATGCTACTTTGAATGCACAGTTCAAAGACCAGCATAAAATACCAATGGCCATGTAATTTACTTGACACCTCAACTTTGCTTATAGTAAAAAGCGTAGAGATGAAACCTTATGTGCAGTCTCTTCTACAAGCGCCCCCTGCAAGTTGTTTTTAAACCTGTTGAATAATAAGAGCCTGGTTAAAAATATCGTATGACCCCAGGATGATGCAATTTTAAGGGCATGGTATGTTCACATGCGTAAAGTTCTAAAGGGGCTTGGGAAGTCACTAAAAACCACCACAGGCTGGCTTTTAAGAGGTGACACACATCTGCTGTAAGACAAAGTTTGCCATCTATCTTGCATAATAATCGTGCAGAGAGTGCGCAAACGCAGCCTTTATTTCTGGTGTTTTATCAATCTGTGTTTACATTAGCTTTTGTATATACTGCCCAAGCTGTCTGTCTGCCATCAATGTAGCTTTTCATAGCCTCATTCCTAGGCTATCCCTCTCCGTACACAATTTTAACGCATCATCTCTTAATGAAAGTTTCCTAAATTTCACGTATGCACACAATATGTTGGGCAGAGTCCTTGAAAAGGTGCTAGTCCAGGTGAATGAGTTTTTGAGGACGTCTTCTTTAGGTAGTGAGTCCGTGAAATCTACCTGCATTAGACACCCAACAGCTCTTGCATGTGGCATTCCAAGTGCAACGAGGACGCTACGTGAAGGGCCCGAGGGCTTCTAAGGTGCATAGATTTCAGACTGACGATATGCCTGACTTATTTAGTATGTGCACCTATAAACATCTTGTTCTTACACATGTGCTGGTTGCGCTGGAAGACGACACTGCGGGCAATAAATAAACTCATTATAAATTACTACGAGATTTAGTAAACGTGTGAGTGTGTACCAACTTCACTTCCGTGCTAGAAAGTAGCACTTGATCGCCATTTCAACTGCACCTATTTTGATTTGTGTGTGTTACCTCGGCAACATAACTACGTACATATGTAAGAGAGCCTGCTGCACTCAAATACCCCAGATCAAAGTCTTGAGGCTCTGTAATGCTAGACTAGCCATCGTTCAGCAGCAACTTTAAAGTGCTGAATCATTGCATTTCGTTGTATAGATTTCATGTTCCATGAAAGATCAGAAGTTGGCTGAAATCACTGATGAGTTGATCCAGGCAGGAAGGTTTCTGAGTGAATTCACAGGAGAAAAACTTGAATGTATTAGGAGTTTCTGCTCATGTCAAAAGATTGTGGAATGGATTCGCCAAACAACCAAAGGTGGGATTAATAACAATATGAGCGATTTTGACTCATTTTGCCCTGTAGATGTAAGCGACCTCCAGAACTTTGTGAATTTGGCTCTTACCACTGCTGCTGGTGGAGAAGATGACCTTACCAACGATAGACTCTCTAGTCTCCGTACTGTGGGCAGTGGGTTCAGCTCTCTTATTTATAAGCTGAGGACAGACACAGGGTTCAGTGAGCTGCGTGACAGATGCTCCTCTGTGTGGGTAGCCTACAAAAATGATAAAAACCTCCCAAAAATGCTAGTAAGCTTATGTACAAAAATTTATAACAATGTTACTAAAATTTCCTAGATGTCCTGTGAAAAGATTCTTGACTGGTACAAGTCAGTAAAGGAGACACAAGCGTCGGTTGAAGTTACTTCTTTTGGTCAAATGAAAAACATTTTGAACTTTGGTTGCTATGCTGTTGGTGGAAGTAAAGATGTAGCCTTTAATAGTATCCACCGTGTTATCCATCTGAAGCTTACCCCTCAGGTAGGGAAAAAGGTTTTCAAGATCAAATACACTCTAGATGACCTAAGAGACTTGGAGAGTAAACTAGTGCTCATCACTGGAAGTAAAGCTGAAAACAGAGCAGAAGTTGACCAGTTTTTGAATGTAAGATTTTGGTATATCATGCAAAAGTTATCACTTTTCGTTTCTTTTAGACTTTTCACTCAGTGTGTAGGATAGCGGAGGTGCTCATAAAGCTTCAACAAGCAGGAAATTTACAGTACATTGGATGGAGAATGGACTTCTACTGCCAGACACTATTAGTAGAAGACCTACAGCTGCATGCAAAGAAGATGGAGGATGAACTAGAAAGGTGGAATAAGGAGGTGATTCTGGCCAGAAATAGCTTTTATGAATTAAACTACTACACCACACGTCAATTGCTTGTCCTCCGAAGTGAGTTGGGTATGTTGAAAATCTTGCGGCAATCATCAAAGCAACATAACTGGGGGCAAGTAATGTCACTACTTGGAAGTATCTCCAGTGCAATAACTTTGACTACTGTCACAAACATAGTGCAACAGGTAGTCAACACCCCTTTGGAAGACTTGGAAACAGACATTTGTTCACCATTTGAAACAGTTAGGGAAGAGCTTTCATCAGAAATACCATCCGAGTCTTCCCCTAATCCAGCTGACCAGTTAGCTGTAATCATTCCTGAAGCAGTTACAAGCATGCCTCATGTTGGGCTGTCACAAGCAGACCTCAACATTGAGCAAAGGGCACACTTCATGAACATAAAACAAAAATTTCCATTCAGTGAAAAGGCAATTCTTAAAGCTATTGGAGCAGTTGATGGTGGAGACTTTAATGATATACTTAACTGGTTGGCGGAGAATGGGGATGAATGGGACGAGGCCTCTCAGGAGGCTGAGGAAACTGGCACTAGCGAAAGTGAAAATGACACAGACGACCCCCAGAGTGAAGAAGATGAGCAGACAGAGTACGGTTCTGAGGCAGAAAGTGAGATTGAGAACATCCAGAGTATGTTTTTCATATGGTAATATATAATATAAAAAATCTAAATATTTCTGTTGTGTAGGTGTGGTTTCTGGTCAGTCCCTTCATTCTGTGAGTTCTCCATCATCATCTCAACCACAGTCCAGAGTGGTGGTCACTCGACGACAGCACGTTGATGAGACCAATTCGGATGTACAGAAGTTGCTGGATGCAGGAATGGGCACGGTTGAAGAGTGCATCCAAGCTATAGAAGTGTATGGAACAGCAAACATGGCATTCGATCCCATGATGAAGCTACAGGACGAAAAAACTATGTCTGAAGACACTCCTCTTCCTTTGTTTTCCGTATCTGAAGGACTCACAATGCCACCAGTGATGAAGTTTGTTTATAAATTACTTTATTGTATGAACGTTTTGATATGCATGTATGCTTTCCTCAGAACTGATAAAGTTGTCATTTCTGTGAAGGATGTCAAGGATCAATTTTTAAAACTAAAAGAACTTGGCGCAGTTCTAAAAAAGCTCAGCGAGAAATTTCCTGGTATCTTTTGCATGCATATATAATAATGTAAGGTGCAAATTTTGCATTTCTCCCCTTTGCAGCTACTGTTCAACAGACAAGGAGTTTACTTTCAGATTTGAAGCGAGGCCAACCTCATCTACTAGTTGTCCCGCCAGACCAGGTTCTAAAAGCTGCTCTTTCTCTCTACATGGAGGACAGCAGTCTACCCTTGCCCACACCTGAGGAGATGCTCATCTGCAATCAGAACACTACAGCTGAAGAGGTACTGTGACCAGGTGTAGAAAGGGAAGAGGGGTGTCTGGTTATAATTCGTTTTTTCGGCACATGCAACGTGGAAGGCAAAAACACGTTCACTTTGAATGGTACTCACCATTGCACCATTCATCCGTTTTCACTGGAGCGTATTAGTCAGTTGACCATTCGCACTCCCACAACCCGCGATGTCCGCAAAACAATTCACTGCGCTAGAACGGCAAAAGATTTCAGTTATTTTTGCCAACTGCCAGGGCTTAGGCTGTGTAAACACGTGCTTCACTTCTCCAGGACAATGACATGTAGGAGTAGCACATACGCGGTAAAAGGTGAACAGATGATGAGTAAATGGTTTTTCCAGTTTGCGTTTTCCTGTCGCCTTGATCACACACTGTCTTTTGCAACTAAGATGCAAAGACACATACTTTTTGCTTGATTCTTGATAACAGTACCGGCTTTTCTGACCTTTTCATATAGGTAAATCTTCTGTGGCAAAGGGCTGTGTGTGACCCAGACTTCAAAAGGATCTTCTGTCTGGTCCATGCAGAGAAGTTATCCTATCAGACAGCTGACATAGCCCTCAGGGCTCTCACAGAAATAATTCAACACAAAACTGGTGCATTCCTTGCGTTTGCTTGAAGTTGCACATATTTTTAAGATGGTTTCATAATGTTACAGGTTACTCATTGGTGATTATTTGCAGCAGCCTTGATGAGGATAAAAGTCTAATCATATCCAAGCTACACCTTTACCGCAGGCCTTATGGAGTTCCAGGCACAGCCAAGTGTAGAGAGTATCTTGAAAAGCACTTTGTAAAGAAAAACCAGCCATCTTACCAGCAAGTTCAGGAGATGCAGAAAGTGGATTGTCCTTCAGCTTCAGTAGTGGATCCAAAGAGGTAACCTTAATATGTACCCTTCCCTTTCAATGCTGTAGGTAGTACTGATACCACCCCTACTAGGGTGTTATCGCACATTCCTGAGGGTTTTGCAGAAACGCCCGCAGTAGGGGTGGTATAGGTAATTTATACCATGGTAATGGATTGCGTCATCATTTTCGGACCATATTTGGGCACGGCTGTGGACCCGCCACCATTTTTAGCTGCCAGGTCGATCGGACCGAACGCCTGTTCTCTTTGACGATTGCACCACTGCAGGCGTCCATAGCGAAAAGTACGCAGATGAGAAGGTTATGAACCGCCTAGAAACTATCGCGGTCAGTCGTCCTTCTCTGCCGAGTCAAGCAGTGAGTAAACTGACCGTGTAAAGACTGAATACTATTCGGGACTGTCTGTGCCTCCTTTAGCGGTCCAGAAAAATTGTAGGCAGAAAATACGCCTGGAAACGAGTGGTTTCACCATGTAATCTACCCGCTGATGCTTCGTGCATGCTAAATTGGCTACTTCTTGTTAGGAAGACCGAAGCTAACCTTCTGTACTCCGAGCAGTTCATCACAAGGCCGTTTTCAAGGAGAAAAGTCGTAGAGAAGTCTAGGACAGTACTCAACGTGCTTCGGATATCACTTCCTGTATATTACACAGGATATCCTGTAGATATGTTGTAGTTTGCGGTTATACTGAACAAACTTAGGGCGGTGCCTTTGAAAATACGCGCAATCGTGGTATAATCCCTGTTATTTGTGTTCAACATACACATACACACATGAAAACTTCATGTTTTGTATTTAATCTGTTATGTTAGGCAAAATTGTATGTTGCTATGTAACTTGATATGGGAAAAGACTTTAAGTGCAAATGCATATTATTCAGAAGTCAGTTAATTTATCGTTTGAATGCACAACATACGCTGCACGTAATGGCGAAAACCACACCTTCATAGCTGGTTCTGTGTCAGCGCTATACCTTGTGCGGATATTTCAATAAATCGAGCGTGAAATTTTACTTTCACAATAGACACGGGGATGCTGCGAGCGTCATGAGCACTGAATAGGCTCCAGCATTGATGTCATTGAATCCTACAGTTTTTGATCAGTTTATTCTCTTAGGAGATTTCAATGTAAACCTTTTGTTTTTGTACTCTCATCTAATGTATACTTTGGCCCCTTTTCATCTCATTCACATTATTAATTCTGGAATTCATGTGCATCATTCTGGCAATATCTCTCTTATTGAATTAGTTTTTGTATCTGAAAACTTCACTTCTTCGTTCTTTGTGTCTTTTCCCTCCACTGGGAAATTCAGATCACAGTGGGATACAAGTGGAACTGTATGCTAAACAACTTCCTGCTAGCAAAGTTAATCGAAAACAGAAAATATTGTGGTGTTTTGATCGTGGTGATTATGATAAAATGATTGACTCTTCGAACTGGAATCTATATCTTTGAGGATATTAGTTCTTCTGTTTAATGTGGCAAAAACATTTTAAAAGTATAATAGAGCAATGCATTCCAAGAAAAACATTATCATCAACACATCGCTTACCGTGGTTGACTAAGAGTTTATTGACACTGATTAAAAAATAAAGTCTTTAAATATTGGAAATCACATGGGAACCTTGCAACCCTCCTAAAATACAAACCTCTAAGGAATAAGGACTAAGGTCTGAAAAACGGAAGTATTTTAAACATCTCAACATCAAAATCCAAAGTCATTATGGAGAACAGTTCGTCAGTTGAGACCGAATTCCCAGTCTATCCCTACATTATGCGATGGAAACGACTGTGCATTTACTAGTCAAGAGAAAGCCAATGTATTGTCCTCATTCTTTAAGCAATGCTTTAATTATTACTCCCAACCTCTCTCTTTTGCTGATCTATATTCTTTTTGCATGTCAGTTGAGTGCCCAGAGGAGTTTCTATGTACAGTAGAGTAGACGAAGTGTGCCATCTTCTGGAAACACTAGATGCAACAAAGTCCACTGGTCCGGACAAAATAACGGCAAGAGTTTTGAAATCTGTGGCACCTAATATTGCACCATCAGTTACGAAACTTTTTAATCTCTCAATTAAGACCGGACTTTTTTCCAATTTCATGGAAATCGTCTGATATTGTTGCAATCCCTAAGTGCAGTCAAACAAAAAATCCACGTAGCCATCGCCCAATATCAATTTTAAGTAAGATTTTGGAACGACACATGTTCTCTTTAATTTCAGAGCATCTTTTGGAACAAAATATAATATCTGACAATCAATGTGGCTTCACATCAAACAAGTCAACAACAACTGCCCTCTTGGCTTTGACTCATGACTGGTTTAAACACCTGGAGGCAGGAATTGAAGTTTGTGTTGTTTTTCTTGATTTACAAAAGGCTTTTGATTTGGTGCTGCATTGCGGCCTTCTTTTAGTGGTGAAAAATTCTGGATTACATCCCATCCTACTCAAATGGATCTGCAGCTATCTGACTCACCGATCACAGAGGGTGGTGGTGGATGGTGTCGCATCTTCTGAAGTACATGCAGTTTTCGGTGTTGCTCAAGGCTCGGTCTTGGGACTTTACTCTTCAAAATGTATATAAATGGAATAACGGACTTAAAGCTAACAACTGGTTGCAAACTTGTGCTCTATGCAGAATGAAAATTTAGAGGCTAGGTTATAGTGTGTCATAAAGCATAAGTGCATTTCTAGTATGACAAGGGTTTGCACTATAGAGCATTTCGTTCCTCTAAATTACTCCTCCTGAGCATATTGCTAATTCAATAAAGCTCCTATAGCAAGCAACAGGAGCATATCAAGCTCACAAAGTGGAGAAGGAGTGTATACTGCATAACTCAAACATAGCACACATTGACCAGCAACAACTACGTAGTTTGGTATGCATGTCAGTGTTTACCTTTTCCCTTTCCTTTTCTTTTGTGTGCAATGAGTAAAACTTCAATCGTTGCAGATCATGTGTCAGAGTTGTTTCCTCAAGTCGAGCTGGAATGGGAAAGACCCTCTTTGTTATTCGAATGGCAGAGAGACTCCAGGCTGTGATACCAGGACATAACACACTTATAACAATCCCAGTTCATGGTCCCGTGGTCACCATAGACTCTGTTATGGAATCAGTAGTTCCTCATGAGAACAGATCAGAGTGCACCATACTACACTTTGACATTTCTCCTTCTGTTAGTCAGACTTCGGTTGATGGTTTTGTATTGAAATGATGACATTAACCATAGGTGCTGTGGCAGGTGGACACCATACTGTTCTCGCTCCTTGTCCAGGGAGGATTGTGTGACAGTCAAGGTCGTGTGTGGAGGAACCACCCTTCACAGCTCTATGCCATTGAGGTCACTACACCAGAGGTATGGTGGGGTGGTCTTGTTATCTTCCTCATAGAATAATTATGTGTATGAATAATCCGTAGAGATGTGAAAACAAGTCCATTCCCGAGCATCTAACCCTACAAGTGCTAGAGATGCTGCCAACTGTGACCTGTGTTACACCAAAGATTGCTCTTTCTCTCATGTCACCGGATGAGACAGACCTTAGAGACCGAATTGCAATGGATGAGAAGAAATTTAAAAATGAGGCACTTCAGAGAGTGTACCAGTACCTCAGAAGGCATACTGCTGGCAACAATCTGGATCTATTCTCTTACAACAGTGGGATCATTGAAGGAACTCCTCAAGACTGCCTGGAAATTTGCCACAAGTAATTATGAACGTGGCCGAATGCAATGCATTTTTGTGAGAGATTTCAGCAGTTCTACATGTCTAGACAGGGCCATTAACACACACAGTTCTGACAACTAAATTGGCTTTGTTTTTGTTATGTTAGATACTGTGGAGTTAAGGATCCTTCATGGGCAGAAATCGGGCACTTTGTCAAGTTCCTCGATCTCCAGCTGAGGTCCTGTGAGAGGTCTTACTTCACCAACCCAGAATTTGTGGGGGATGTTATGACTGGTTTCAAGGGGTTTGTTGTGAAGCTCATGATACAAATGTCTCGGGTAAGATATATAGTGAACACTTAGAACAATATTATTGCTGTTTTGCCTATCCTAGGATTTTTCTACATCATCTCTGAGCGGAGAGGTAGCGCAAGAGAATGATGAAGCTGACGGGGGACAGGATGTTCTCTCTCAATATCAGATTGTCGAGAGAAAGAAATGGGAGCACAGGTTTTATATGTTTTAGCAGGCATTAAGCCACCAATACCTATGTCACTAAACAGTTGATTGGCGACATGATTTGTTTTGTTTTCTGATCACAAGCAATGGCAAGTTTGATACAGTGCCCGTGAGAGGCTTTGGGTAGTACCATGGATTTGTATGCCATTTAAACTTCATACCTTGTAAGAAAGGACTAATTCCTAGAGAGGATGCATAGGTAATGTAAACAGAGCCACTTTCTTTCCGCATTTTTTGGCTAATATATTCAACAGCTGTGTGCAGTGGCGAAAATCCCACTGCAGGTTGTTTTCTCCCTAAAACTAGTCGCTCATTCATGGTTTTTTTCCCTCTCATGTCACACAGCTCTCATCCTTACCTGTTCTTCAACCAAGATGGAATGAGTTTCACCTTTGTTGGGTTTGTGGTAACTGTTAATGGGGACTTGCGCGACCCAGCTCACCCTGGAGTTATTCTTGAGAAAGGGATTATGACCCAACAGCTTTACACCGGTCTAAAGGCCCAGAGAGTAAACTTTAATGAAGATTACCGCCATTGGCCTAAGAATGTCATGATTCAGAAGATCTCAACGGTGATGGGTATAGAATGGCCCCATGATCCAGACCCTACTTATGTGCTAACAGTTGATAACTTAATCAAAATCTTGGCCATTCAGATGAGATTCAGGTTTGTGATTCGTGTTATCTATGGACACGGCAGACAAAATCTCTTTGTAGGTGTAGTATTCCAGTGGTGATAATGGGAGAGACTGGCTGTGGGAAGACCAGACTCATTAGGTTCATGTGTAACCTTGCCTCTCAGGGCAGCAGCCAGAGGAACATGCTAATCTTAAAGGTAGTTCAATTCCGCTATGTGTTGGTAGTGTTTTGCTCATAGGACAGTTAATACCTGAGAATGTGTTGTCTTACATCGTGTGAAGCCGACCTGAGTTTAACATGGCAAGAGTAGCACTGTGGGATATAGTACGTTTATACTATTGGTAGAGTTCAAAAAAATTGTGGACTTGCTTTTCTGGGCTAATGACTCTGTGGGGAATGTGTGATCATGGCCAAGCAGTGAGTGCCTACATAACTTGAGCAATTTTAAGCTAGTGGAGTGAACAAGCCTTTTCCCTGCATGCACTAAGCACAGTGTGTTAAGAAAAGAAATTATTTAACAGGTACATGGTGGTACAACTGATGAAGATATTGTGGCATTTGTGAGAAAGGCAGAGGAGATTGCAAAAGACAACAAGTCCAAGAAACTTGACACAGTTGTCTTCTTTGATGAGGCCAACACCACTGATGCCATTGGACTGATAAAGGAGATCATGTGTGACAGGAGAGTCCATGGTCACCCTGTCGTAGAGGATCTCAAGTTCATTGCTGCATGTAATCCATACAGGAGGTAATCACATATCAACCCCTGACATTATTGGTTATTTTTTGTGTGTCTGTCCATATGTCTGCTCGTTGGTTTCATTTTCCTTATTTTGCAACAAGATTCCAAACAAGTTTACTATTAGCCCCAGTTCTCTGCATTCAAGGATTATTGTGTGAAGCACAACCATAAAACCCAACATGAAAATACATACTGGCTTGGGTTCACGTTAACAGGCATTAGATGATGATTACGAGTCCAAGATTGCTACTACTTGTGTATTTACAGTAGTGCAAGGTGCTCTATGTAGTATACATGTGTGTTCCTTGACCACTGGGGATTTACACTTTAGTGTCTTCATTGTTTTACCTAGGCATACTAATATGATGATAGAAAAATTACGCTCTGCTGGACTTGGTTTTTATGTGAGAGACACAGAAACACAACAGAAGCTTGGTATGTTCACTATCTGTATACCTTACTTACCTATGTAGGGTCAGCTACATAACCCATACAGGAAGGATTCCACTGCGAGAACTAGTGTACAGGGTGATTGACCTTCCTCCCAGTATGAGACCACTGGTCTATGACTTTGGTCAACTCAACTCAGACACTGAGAGAGACTATACCACCCAGATAGTCCATGACCATGTGAGGCATAATAACCTGCTTATTTATGAACTCTGACAAGGTGTCATGATCACATATGCAGGTTATAAAACATGCTCAGTTGTCAAACCAGGACACTGGAATCATACCTGCCATAGCCCGTGTACTAGCCTGGTCCCAGAAGTACATGAGGGAAAGAAAAGTGAGTAACAGATACATAATAGGCACAAAGGTGTGGCAGGTATGCACGAGTTGCTTATTTCATGAGGATGCGGCCCACGTGTTCTACATGGCTAAGCAACGAGTTATGTATCCGGTAGACCACGACCAAAGTTAAACAAGTTACTGGCTTGTGTGACGGTGACATTAATTTGTGCTAAAAATAAATACATACTTTGAGAGTAAGGGCAAACAATAGCATTCACCTGTTTCAGCCGAAAGTCTCACCTGGGTGTATAGGAGTGGTCAATTGTTGTCATAAAGACACCACGAAGCACCGGCAGTAGCTTAAGAGCACTGCCGAGGGTCAGCCTTGCTGACCACTAAATCACAGTGTTTTCCTTCAACTTTTATGTTTAGAGCAACCATGCAAACAACATAATTATAATAGTTAGGGTTTCAAGAAAAAGAGAAAGCACCTCCTAGACGTAATAGTGCACTCTCTGTCTCTCATTTTTCCTGAACATTCATTTCACTGCCTCTATCACTTTTATCTATTAATTTAATGTATGGTGTATTGGAAACAATATTGGCCATGTACCAAATAATTATTTTCCATTCAATTTTTGTTATGCCCTGGAAAATGCCACGAAATGCAAATAAAATTCCTGGGTGCACAAAAGGGGCTTAGCATTACACGCTCTACTTAAGGTGGCAGTTCACCCTTATAACTTGGAAGTATGCGACAATTCACAGCGCATTTTCATGTTGGAAATATATACCTATGCTAAGAAACTAGGTATCAAGGCTTTATTTATGCACTTTCTGAATATCTGCATATCTCTGGAATAGATAGTACAACAAGAGCAAGAGCAGGTTTTAAATCAAGCACCTAAGCAAGTCCTGGGGGGCAAAATATCTGCTTCTAGCATGCTCGTATTATTGTCAAAAAGCTGTTTACATTTCAATACCAACTTTTGTACTTTAGGATGAATGCAGTTTTGTAAGTCTGAGGGATGTGGAAAGAGCTATGGTCGTACTCATCTATTTTATTGAGAAAATGAACCTTTTAAAGAAGGAGGTTAGAACCTTTCTGCTCTAATGTATTTTCCTTGTGACAATAATTTGTATGTACTAGATTGTGAGTAGCATATGGAAGCTCTTAATCGAGAGACTGGTCAAGAAGGCACATGGCATGCTTAAGTTCTTTACTTTTAAAGCACATCGAAATTCAGTGAATTTACTTAGTATACAAGCGTAAACAGTATTTAAGCGTATTTGCTCTCATAATTTGTGGTCAGAAAAATCAATATTTTCCCATAAGGCGCAAGTTTTTTTTGCGATGCATTCTCAAAAATATAGACTTTTTGCGAATCATTTCAGCTGTGAATTACCTGCACCAAACTACGCATTGTGGGGCGCCCCATGCGGCAGGTACAGCATTCTACATCTAACATTGAGAACTCAGCGCGCCTGAAGAACACAGCAGTACCACCGTCAGCAAAGCCTGGAGCAGCACTTTAAGACTACTTCTGATCCCTTCCTGCTGGCTAATCCACATGCCTGCTTTTTCACTAGCTGATGCAGTTGGTGCACGTACGTTGAAGTAATTTGCATGGTTAAGAAAGTGGTTTCTAGGAGCAAAGATTGGCTATGTCGTGAGCAACGGCAATGCAGTGTCTTTTTGACTTGGATGTGCGATGACTGACAAGATTGTTTCATGCTTCTTCACCGTCTACAGGACCCCGTACTATGGCTAGAGCACGTCTCCTTTTGTGTTATATCTGCACTGTCCTTGGATGTTAGAATAATGTATAAAACCCCTAGACCTGCTCTAGTGGGGTAACACACAAGCTCTACGGTTCATAATGAGTAGCTTGTTTGCTTGTGTCGTGTGTGTGTAAAATCTTCGCTTATGAACATAAGTATTTATCATATCGCCTGCTTAGGAGTCAGAATATTGCATAAGTGCTCATTTCCGCAGCCTACCATCTCTAGTGCACGGTAGTTCACTTGCCCAGGAAGTACGTAAGAGGTTGTGGGCTTGGCAGTTCTTTATTCCTCTCTTTCTGCCTACACTCTTCGTAATTCTTTCAGACTACCAGGCATGAGATCAGGAGCGAGATGCACGAAATAATTAATCTGTGGTAACCCAGTACTTACATGTGTACGTACATTATAATACCTACACGCTAAACTAATTGGATTCTATGTAGCGGCACCTTAAAACCTGCACATAGTCTATATATGTTATTTTCCCCACCCACACACTGAAGTATGATGGTCTGTGAGAGTCCAAGCCTAAAGCCACAATAGGGGCAAAAGACAAAGCAAAACTTGTATGCTGCATTGCTGCGATGCTGACGTTCAGTCATTAACTCACCAAAAATGCATTCCACTTGTTCTTGTAGTTTGTACAGAAACCAAATTTTGTCATATATGTGTAGCATATAAGAATTAGAGGATACTGGCAAGCATCATAATTATGTAAGCATCATCTACCATGCCTGCCTGTCTCTCTATTGTATCACCACTGTGCTTATCTGTAACTCAGTGCTAACAAAACAATCATTTGGTGAAGATGCAGTTACACTTGTTTTCTTTCATGCCTGTGTCTTTGATCCTGTGTCTGTATATCATATAGGGGCAACATCTAATGAACAGTCAGAGACAGCAAGATGGAAGTCCTGCTCCAGTCTCTCAATCTAGTGACCTCACTCACTCCCTCATTCTTGCTGTCAGTGTCTGCTATCATGCTAGACTCAGTGACAGGACTGAATATGAGGATAAAGTTGCTCATGAGTTTACAGCACCACTTGCACTCCCTGGTGGAGCAACTGAGTTTAGGAATGTTATTAGATGGTAAGATCAAGTGCTGTATACACTATGTATAATACCTGCTAGTACATGTAAAAGTATAGACCTCTACAAGAATTTTCAGTCAGAAGGACCTACAGGAGGCAAGATTCCCTTGGCAGCTATGTGTAAGATATTTGTCCATAGAAATAGAAAGAATAAAACACCGAAGTGTAAAACTCTAGAGACCCGTGCTTGTATACCACTGCTAAGTAATTGGTTGGGGTACGTTCTGCCGGTTTGCTTGTGTTTGTTTTGTTCGGATTGAGCATGTGCATGTGCATGTTGAGTCTCTCATGGGATATAGCAGGACTTAATGCTCCCTCTCCGCTCTAATTCCCTGATAATACTACAAAACAGGGTTCAGGTAAGCTAGTGCTAATTAGCACATTGGCTGGTTAACCCTCATGTGTATGTATGTGTATCGAGGGTATTTTTTCTGGGTGTCTCTGTCTGTGCCTGTCAGCGAGAACGTCACTATGCACCATGACTGGCTTACGTACCCAGGACACCGTGGCAGGGTTAAAGTCATTACCCATTGATGCAGCTAGCCGGTGCTCTAGCAAGAAACTATCTCTGCTGCCTGTAAGACTGCGTGGCATTGCCTAGCCCATCAATTATCATTATGCGTGACGTTAGGCTGTATTAGAGTGGGAAACTGGCTTTGTGTGTGACCACATGGCATGGTGTGGTCCAGCCTATCAATAAACGATGCATGAGTTAAATGTAGATCAAGAATATTGCATGCACATTCCTTGTGCCAAGGGTTTGAAAAACAAAGCATGAAAACAAGTACAAAACCTTGTCATGAATGCTGCTGAGTCTCCTTGCCTTATACATCTAGACTACCACAAAGGGTGAATATATGTAACCATGATCACACATTCATAATTCATTTCATTACATAAACATAATATAGTAATCAGCATGCATTATTGAAACTTTAGCTGGTATTTTTGCCACTGCTAAAAACTAGCACAAGAGACCACATTAAAGTTTCCATTTTCTGTAGTTTTTGGCATGAATTTTTCTGTATAGGTTGTTGCAGTAAGAGTCAAAAGTCTTTTTTCGCTTCCCAGCTAGCTCTTTCTCTACTGTGTTTGCGGCGGTCATGTCACACAGAATTCAACACAACTGAACAGAAACAAAACGGAACGATTTGTGAACACCAAACAGAAGGAAACGAAACGAAATTGGACAAATTTTTTACTCCTGCTGTAGTACGTACTTACCTAGGGTGACTGGCTAGCTTTTGCTGAGGACCTAGCTGTTAATGTGATAGATAAATACCCCCTAGCTGATATTTTTAACCATTAGGTGCCAGGAAGTTCTATTAGGAAGTATGGTGTTGGGAGAGAACATTGCCCGCAATGCTGCTCTGAGAGAGAATGTGTTCATGATGGCAGTGTGTGTGGACCTGAGGATTCCTCTGTTCCTGGTGGGGAAACCTGGCAGCTCCAAGTCTCTGGCCAAGTCCATTGTGGCTGACTCCATGAGAGGGCCGTCTTCTCAGACTGAACTCCTTAAGTCCTTCAAACAAGTCAGTTAGGCTAACTCTACGCCTAATTGACTTTCATGCCCAATTTACTCTTACTCTCTTTTTTTAGGTACATATGTTCTCCTACCAGTGCAGTCAACTCTCCACTTCGCAGAGTATAATAGAAGTGTTTAACACAGCCAAGAGGTTCCAGAAGGACCAGGACACCACCAAGTATGTGTCAGTGGTGGTGCTGGATGAGGTGGGACTGGCAGAGGACTCTCCCAACCTCCCACTGAAGGCCCTCCACCCACTACTTGAGGATGGGACTGAAGGGTCTGAAGACAGAGATGAGGCCAGTTGTTATTATATACTTTTATATGTCGGTGAATGACTTCCCCATGCTAATTTAGGTTATAGCTAGGGAGAAGAGGGTGGCATTTATTGGGATCTCCAACTGGGCATTGGACCCAGCCAAGATGAATCGTGGGGTGATGGTGACCCGAGGAGACCCAGACATTGATGAGCTGGTACTCAGTGCACAAGGAATCTGCCACGATGATGAGAGCAGTGAGGTCGAAGACAGACTTGGTAAATACTTCCAGGTCCTGGCTGAGGCCTACCACAAGATTTGTGAGAGACAGACGAGACAATTCTTTGGTCTGAGAGACTTTTACAGGTTAAAACACATTGTGTTTTTATTATGACCACTATTTAACTCTACAGCACGTCCTGTTTCGTGTTCTGGCATGTTAGCTACAAGAACATACAAACAGGATGTGCATATATCAAAGTAACCGTTGAGCATATGAAACATACGTATGCGACTTCTATTAAATGCTCTCATTTTCTCTCTCAACCCAAACTCCTTAATATTACATGAATGAGGCCTTCAAAGAATCTGACAAAAAATAATTATTTTTATGCCTTGTAGCAATTAGTTTTAGCAGATGTTAGATACCCCTATATAAAATGCTTCAGTGAGGGTTGCTCTGTACTGGCCTCATCCTTAGACCCTGTCTTGGAAAAAAAAATTTCTTCATATAGGTTATTTGCTGAGCCGCGGGAACTACGCGATTTAGTGAGCCGAGGGCCCTCGGGCTGTCGGCGTCCGAGTGCAGCAAGGGCACTACTACCAGGGCCCCGAGGCTCACTAAATTGCGTAGTTCCCAAGGCGGCGCATCTAACCAACTTAGACTACAGCGCTAGCAACGCATAACAATGCACGCTGCATTGAGGATGGGCGGCTTACTGGGGTCACAGATGATGGAGCTTTTTGCTGAGGATGAACTCGAAGTAGACAGACTATTTGCAGCTGCCAGCAGCCAGTTCGAGCAGCAAAGCCCCACCTACGGCCATTACTAACGCACATCTCCAGCCAGCCCCGCCTTCTACTACGCCCCTCGCACCAGCTCCACCCTCACTAGCCTGCAACAGCTTGATCCTGTCCGCTTTCCGTCACCTAAGACCGACGAAGATATACAAGACAGAAATACCTAAGAAAACACAGCAAGACACTAAGTTCTGTGTGTATGTGTATGAGGAGTGGAGGAAAACAGAGAGAGGGTACTCAACACCACTATTCCACCTCTAAACTTGATGAATGCTGCTGAGCAGGCCTACCACCTTTACTAGGTTCGTAGTGGGAGCAAGAAAGAAGGATGGCAATGAATAACCTGCCAATACCTTGCACCACATCATCACAGGGATAATGCGTCATTCGCTGGCATGGCATACATGTAGACTTCTTCAAAGACCCAGAATTTGCAAATATACAGTCAACATTGGATTCAGAGATGAAGCGCATTCAGCCATCTGGGATTGGATCGCGTCCTAAACAGGCGGAGATCATATCAGAAGAGGAGGAAGAGTTACGTACTGTGGCAAAAGGGTCTCTTGGGTGATAGTTCCCCACAAGTATTGCTCGGCACAATGGTGGTTTGCTGTGGCCTATTCTTTGCCCTTCGCAGTGGCAGTGAGCATAGAAGCCTGTGTCACAGCCCATGTCAGATCCAGGTAGTCGAGAGGAGTACACAGAGGATTTGTCGAAGAATCACCATGGTGGCTTGAGAGGGCATAAAGTGAAGCAGAAGATTGAGAACTTTTGCTTTATCATCAGTTGTTGGAATGGAGTTTTGCAGTCTTGATAAAGTACTTCCAGCAATCAATGTGGATCACATAAACGTGTCAAAAAATCCCAGACCCTTTTTCTTTTGCAGTTTGGTGCTGGCGCCATTCTCTTCCCAATGTTGACACTTCACACTGTACATGCACTATAAGATCACGTATTTATCGAGTGCTTAAACTCCCATGCTGTTTTGTTTATGTGCTACACTTACGGTAAGCAAAGCGAGCTTGTTGCCTGAATGCGGGATTTTCCGTATCTATATCTGTAACGGTGAAGATTCTATCTTAATGTTTACGTGATTCACAATACACATGAAACAGTGCCCAATAATTGGTGAGCGAAGTGACCCTACCTAGTCGTTTCAATGGGGGAATTTTCTATCATGATACGTATTTTATATGTCCTGCTTCTGTCTGGCACTGCACATATACCGTAATGTTCTTCGTGATTCTAAATATGCGCAAAACACACACAATAATAACTTCTCATGCTCACTCGCCAACAATGCATTACATTCCTCTAGTATAGTTGGTATAGTTTGCATAACTTTGCATGTTATTTCTTTTGCCCTCTCTCACCTCCAGTCTGATCAAGATGCTGTACTGGATGTGTGAAAAAACAAATATGCCTCTCACTGGACCTCAGCTAGTCCATGCCATCAAGAGGAACTTTGGAGGACTGGAAGAGAGTGGGGTTGACCCTGAGAAGATATTCTTCAAGAGACTGCCAATAAATATAGAAGAGGCACCTGATCCAACTAATATAGACCCTGCGGTAAAGCAAATACCTTTTAAATTTAATACTGAATATTACATACTTCTAAATCCTTTCATTCTGCAAATGCACTTACTTTAGATTTGGGAATTTGTTAGTCCAGACAACACGCAACGTGGACTTATCAAGACTAGCCTGAAAACAAAGGAGACTTCCTGGCATGGGTATGGAGTAAGCTGTGTTTGTGTCATGTTTGTCTACTTCTTTGAAAGTCGTGCGTAATTAACCCTCGGCGTGCATGCGCTGCCAGGGTTACTGTAGTCGTTCTGTGCGTCTGTCTGTTACTCTCAATCTCACTTCTCGGGTGTTTGTTCGTCTCACAAAGGATACGACCTACTTAACGGGCAATGAAGGTTCGAATGGTTTTCTCTGAAACTGCTCCGTTGCAAAGCTAGAGCGCGAAAAAGCCAATATGCAAATACACAATGGACAAGGACGGCTTACCGCGGTCTGATAGATCCGCCTGCTCTGCGTACCTTGGAGGCACCAGAAGATGCAACGCAGGGCGTGTATCTCCTCTCGCATGCTATCTAGTAGTGTAGTTAGCCGGCGTCAGACTCTGCGCGAGCTGGCAGGAGACCACGAGTAAGAGCTAAAACTAAACCCAGCTCATCAATTATTTGTACGGCACATGCGTTTACTTACGCGTGCACGTCACAGTGCGCCGAGGGTTTGTACTTCAGTGCTTTTCATTTTATCAATTTTTCATGGGCAGGGAAAACCGGTATCTGCTGTTTCTGACCGAAAACTATGCAGCATTGGAAATTCTACAGCAGTACCTGCAGGATCAAGAGAGTGGACACCCTTCACTTAATGTCCATCCGGAACAGCCTTCTCTTAAACCATGGGAAATGGCGCCTTTTGTACTGTTTGGTAGCAGTTTTCCTAAAGACAAAGAGTACACACAGGTTAAATCTCCTCCTTGGATTCATTTGGTCGTTCCCCTTGCGCCACACGTGCAGTTATGGGTACTGTTGTTGCCTTTTGTATGTTTCGTCTTTTTCAACCCTTATTGCACTATTGTCATAACTGGGCTCAGCTTTAGAGCTCTTGATTTTTAACCTGTTGCTTACAGTAAGCGGTATGTAGAGGATTGGCTGAATGACTAGGTAGCCAGCTACAATACCAAACAGCAGTAGAGTAGCATGGTATACCCGTGCATAGCCTAAAGGGGTTTCACCAATATGCTATGATGTGTGACTCATTAACTGTATAGGTATGTCGGAATATCAACCAGATCAAGATCTGCATGGAGATTGGAAGGACAGTAATCTTGCTAAACTTGGAAAATTTGTACGAGAGCCTATATGATGTTCTTAACCAGGTACGTATATACATGCATAATTATATGACCATAGTTATTGTAATCTTTTCGTCCCTGCTTGCCATCAATAATATTGTTGTGCAAATTTTGAGAAACTCAGACCAAATGACACCAAGGGAAAATAAAAGTGCAAACCCTCAGCGCACGGCGAATAATGGGCTGGGCTATGAGTATACTCGTAGCCTTTTGCTGGTAGTTTACAGAGACTCTGGCTGCTACACAAGTAGATAGCATGCAAGAGTTGATACATGCCCTTCATCATGAGTTCGTGTGTTTCAGGTCTAAGTAAGCCAGTGTGATTATGCATCTTGGCTTCTCCACCTAGTCTCACACTTTATTTCTCGAACGCAGTGGTTTCAGGAACATTTTTCAGCCTTCCATAGTTCTGAAGCTGTTGATATCACTTATAGGCTGCTTCGTAGCCTGTACTGCCAGAAGAGCCGTAGAGAGTGAAACATACACAGACCAAGAACTGTAACCCTCGCTACGCATGCCTGCCGAGGGTTAATAATAGGGAGAGTTTATGAGAGTGACATACTTTGCTAGCACTCTTAAATCAGGAGGGGGTGCGACAACTATCACGTGCAGCAATATTTAGTTTGTTTTATTGTCTGTTGTGTCGAGCCGCAGGTAGCTACTGTCACCGAGAAAAAAAACTGTGCATAGTGCTATCCATTAATCACCCTTAGCTCATGTCGTTTATTCACTAGCGCTGTTGAAAATACACACATGTTTCACCTTTAACGGCTAAATTCTCAACAGCCGAGAATAACTTTGGTAGTACGATCACCCACGCAGGACCAGAAACTAGTGCTCCACATACATCTACAAGTTGGCCACCAAAAGACAGGTCCGATATCAAGCTTGAACAATATCCTACCTATAGACCGGGGACGTACAATCGTAACAGTGACAATATAGCATCGTGCCGGTGATCTGCACTCTTTCAAGTTCAAGGTGAGACATCGTCGACCCCTCAGGAGTTCCGTGAGTGAGGTTGCCATGATGGGACTTACGAGGTAGACATGTCGAGAATGATTGCAGTCGGCCAGAGCGACTATTAGTCCAACCTGAAGCTAATACCTACTCCTGAAGTTAACACTTGCCTCTGATACCGAGCCCAGCAAGATGCGAGTTTACAACCTCACTGCTAGTACTGCACGCATACTTCCAATACTGTGCTTATGGGCAGTGGCACGCGTAGAATGAAATCTTTTTCCTTACGTAACTATGCTACCTTGTCACACCCCTGCTCTTAAATAGCATGACATGCCGTCAAAAGAAGTTTACAAGCAGGTGTATGCAAAGAGCTTTTGATTTAATGACGACAAAGAATTTCTTCTGTGTATTTGGGCAAAATTCACTACTAGTAATGCTGGCTAAATGCAACCACAGTGAGCTATTCATTTTTTTAACGGACTAAATTAAACTAGCATTACATCTTTTTGCCATGCATAGTATTACATCCATCATGGAGACAACCGATATGTTGATCTGGGACTTCAAACTCATAAAGTTAAATGCCGTGTCCATGATGAGTTTAAGTGAGTTGTTCTATCGCTTTTTGTGATTTTTCTGATTATATACCTTTCATTGCAGACTGATTCTCATAGCAGAGAAAAACACGGTCTACAAAGAGTTTCCAACTCCACTCATTAACAGACTAGAGAAACACTTCGTGCTCTACTCTTCAGTACTGGAGGACTGGCAGACTGGCATACTTAGGGAAATGAAGCAGTGGATAACACACTTCTCACATATGCAAAGCTCTAATTCTACGTAGGGCCAATTTTCATTTGTTTGTTAAATTATGGGCTAGCTACGTAATAGCAAGTGCACAGCATGCCCAAAGTAAAAACACCCAAACAGCATTGCAAACTCTTAGAAGCTGCTGAGCCCTTCTGTGGTGATTAGATGTCACAGTGAAGGGAAAAGGTTTAATACACACATGCTTCAGGCACCAAACTTAATGGCTGTGTAACATCTGAAACTTGTGCAGCAGGGATCTCTACGTATATAGGATCACCGTTTTGCTTTCTTGTAGCGAAGGCTCAGCTGTTATGAATGTTGAAATCCTGTGCCTGTTGTTGGTTGTATATTAGCAGAGATTGAGGATGATTATTGTGACGATAATGTTGTTACGTTCCACATATGTTCAGCAAAGAATGGCTCCTCTGAGAGAGCCATCACAGAAATTAACCTGGAACGAGAAAGTACACTTTCTACTGCTTCACCCTTTATGCCACAAGATGTGCCGAGTATAAGAAATTCGCCTACGTAGCTAGAAAGCCTTGCCTTGCCTTTCTACCTCGCTACCTAGTTGTTGACATATACTAAACTCTTTTCAATTCTGAGGTAGAAATCTTGTACGATATGCGTAGTTTCACATTATGCCCTTTATGAAGTGAAGATCATGCCCGCATAGCCAAGCACTTTCTGCACATGCTTGTGAACATTAATAATGCACAGCTGTAAATTCTCACATGGTTTCACCAGATTCAAGGAGAGTGATTCCTTTGTTGGCTACCGGAAGGATGTGGCAGCAGCAGTGGTGTTCCAGGCCTCCAGTCAGTTGAGGAAGACCTGTGAGATACTAATAGGTCAACAGCAGCTGTGGGAGACTGCCTGGAGGGATGGCCTGCTTGGAGACTGCAGTCTGGAGCAACTGGCCGAGGAAGATGAGGGATCACATAATTGGAAAGAGGCGGTAAATGCTAAAGTAAAGCTGTGTATAGACAACTGCCCACATACTTGCATCCGGTAGAATGCCTAAGCTATAACGTTACCACTCATACACAAACCCCTACTCCCATAGAAGTCCTGGCCAGTCTCTCGCAATGCTTCAATAGAGGCAGCTAGTTGCTGAACATTCATTAAAAACTTGATTAGTGAAAGAGCACTACCTGACCATAGATAGTAGAGCGTACACAACAGGATTGGAAGCTCGTAACATGCGTGTGTTATGCTCCGTACATTTAAATGCCCCCATGCGTGTCTCTTGTGGTGCCACACCTTCTTTTGGATGACAGATATGGGTCAAACCAACTTTACTCGCTCTCCACTGGAAAAATTAACGGATTAGTGGAGCTCTTTGATGAAATTGGAACTGTCAGCGATGCCTGCTATCGATAAGAAGTGTTTGTGCAGTGCAGTGCAGTACAGCTGTTTCTCAGGCCTCAAAGTTGTCAGACGGACTTTCGCAGCGTTTTGTCGACATCTAGCACTCACGGTACCCAGCTTCAGAGGTCTATTCAGAGTTTAGAGGGAGGGCAGATGTCTAAAGGTTTGCAAAGGGGCATGTATTTTTTTTTTATGCATTACTTAAGTGCTAGGTTGTTTGCAAACTTTTCAAGATTTTGGTAAACCTTGTGGACAACGGACACCCGTCTGATAGTGCTTACAGCTTCATAAATTGCACCTGCTTTGCATCGGCGGGTCTTTCCTCTGCAGGGCGGCATAATTTGCTACATTCCGTAGAAATGGTCGAATATGTATGGCAGTGATGCAGAAGGGGGCAGCCTTTGAAATCCACGTGAAGCATGCAAAGATGCGGGACAAACTAAAGCGCACACATGTAACAGCATGACGTATAATATGTTTATAACCCCGTTCCGTAAACTCTATTATTCATGACCTGACCAACGTTTACACTGGCTGAAAAATATAACGCCAGCACGCTCTCTAAGCCATGTTATTTTTCCTTCGAGTTAACATAATCTCCAATCACTAGTCCTTCGTATATTAGGCAGTCAATTCTCGTCATTTATCCATAAAGGATCCCAGTACATACGTTTGTAAAGCTCCTAAGTGTAGCAACTCCTGTTTCCCTTCCTATTTCCTAACTGACTTCAGCTAGAATCTCATGTACACTCCTTCAACAACTGACTTTCTCAAGACCACTTGTACCCAATTTCTTCACTTGGATGTTCTCACACCAGTCGATGCCAAGCAAACACCAGGCTGGATGCAGTGGAACTTCCCTTATCAGCAGAATATTCTTTTTCTGTGTAGGTGTTCCTAATTGGACAGTTTCTACTGCTACAAACCTCTCCACCTGCTGCTCTTGTCAGACTCGGCAAAAGCAGACTTAAAGATGATATTGAGAGGCTGAATCGGATCTACAGAACTCAACATCACCACTCCATTGAGGAATTTCTTACCTACCACTTGACCCATGACAGTTTAAGAGGCGGCCTACTCCTACAGGTCACTACCAACATGCAAATATCCAGCTTATGAGTGTATTCTATAAATTCCAGGTAACCACCCACAGCCACCTGCTGTCATCAGATGAAGTGGATGAGCTCAGTGATAGCCTGGAATTAAGTGGTAGCCCGGATGTCTTCTCCTTCCTCCTTCAAGAGTTTGACACTGAGTTGGACTTCACCAGTAAAGTCAGGTATGCTTGTCTCTTTGTACCGCAGGTTAATTATGCTTGATCTGTGTAAAAGGTGAATTTATATTAAACAATGAAGTCAATCCTTGATACTAACACCACGAGAATGTTCAGGATGTTCATTTAGGTGTTGTGCATTAGGATGTACAATGTATTCCTCTTTTGCTGCCAGAGGGAGGTTAACAACATCCTTACGGCATATTATGTAGCTCATCATGGATTTTAATAGGCTACTACCTATTGCTAGAGTTTGAAATGATAACTCTTAGTGTCACTTGGTTCTCCCGTTTATTTTTCTCTTTGTGTCACATTGTTTTCCTTTTTGTTGTGATGAGTACATGAGACATTTTCCTGGCAATGTCGCTCAATATGCACGATTTAGTGTCACATGCATGTACATCACCTTGCCATTCTAAGAGAATTGTTCTTAATTAGAGGGAGATAGGGTCGGAACGAACCCAAAATTCTATAGTGTGTCCAGTGACAGTTACTGTACCTAGTTTGTCTCTCTATTCGTTTGTCTGTCTGTTACCATCTTTTGTGCTGCAAAGCGGAGAAGTTTTAATGTCAAAATACTGCGTTGAAATGTTATGGTGTGAGAACCGAGTCAACAGGCAAACAATCTAATTAGCCTCGACTGATTCCGTGTGTTTCTACATGACAGGGTACAAGTATCGTGCTCTGCTATGCCGAAAACGGTATCTAATGCATAGTTAGCCAATGCAAGACTCTCAGCAAGCTAGTATAAAAACCACTGGTAGCATAACCGAGCTCATCAAATAGCACTACTTACCTGCAAATGTGTAAAGAGCAGTAGCATCCCTAGTCCAGTGCGATCATCGGTAACAATTCCTGCTTTGCATAGTGCAGTCAGACATACATTGCAATGCAATTGGTCATGGCTACTGATACTTGCAGTGGTATAAGGAGAACAGAAGGTTATTGCATCATCTTCATGCACACTCGTAAAAGTCAGCTATGATTAGAGCCACGCTCTAGTGAGTTCATGAGTCGATTAGTCAATCAGAGAAGTACTATTTCACTTAGTATTCCTCTGACTGGACATCGACTGAGGACTTCTACATAATACAAGTAAATAAAAAATCCTGCGAATTTAAAAAAAGAGGCATATAGGGATGGTTATAAAAAGAAAGGGAGACAAGATAGGGATTGGATACATGAAGCATGGTTATTGAACAGATTTGAGTACGCTGACACCCCAAACCCCATCACACCATCCCGATTTTGTTGCCTGGTGTGCTACTCTTATAGGGGCTAAAGGTTACTAAAAGCAAGCATTCTTTCACTGTGTCCTTGTTAACCCTCGGCGCGCATGCGCAGCGAGGGTTACAGTACTTGTTCTGTCCGTCTGTCCGTCCGTCCTCGTTTTCTGCCACCACGCGCGACAAACAAGATAAATAGCGACACCAACGGGTTCAGGGCTACACCCGCTTCATTTTTAAAATGCAAATTTTTGTAAAAGTGCCGCGTTCAGAAGTTATGGCATGAAAACCAAGTGAACAAGCCAATATGCAAATTAGCACAGGTTTACCTCGACCGGGTCCGCTTGCTCTGTGTACCTTGGAGGCACAAGAAGTCACAACGAAGGGCCTTTATCGACTCCCGCATGCTATCTACTACTGTAGCTAGCCCGTGTCAGACTCTTCGCGAGCTACTCCGCGAGTAAACGCATACTACAAATAGCCCAGCCCATCAATTAGCGGTACCGCGCATGCGCAGTTCGTCGAGGGTTTGCACTTTAGTGCTTTTCATTGCTTTTAGTAACATTTATACTGCCACATTCCCTTTAATTAAACTCCACTTGGACTCTCTATAAGGGTGTTGGTTACTCAGTAAGTGCATTGTAAGTTCTGAGTATTGTAATGGTGAATGTTTAATACTTCACCTAGGCAACAATATAGGGATGGTGTGATGGGGTTGGGGGTGTCAGCGTACTCAAATCTGTTCAATAACCATGCTTCATGTATCCAATCCCTATTTTGTCTCCCTTTCTTTTTATACCATCCCTATATGCCTCTTTTTTAAATTCGCAGGATTTTTAATTTACTTGTCTCCACTCATTTTTTATATACTACTACGTATTATCTCTGTGGAAGGGGGCAAGCCCTATAAAAATTAATAATAGAGGGGAAAAAGGCTATATATTTGTTGTTAGGGTCATCATGGAAACGATGTTACACACATGCGTACCAAGTTTCACCTCCATGCGTGCTAGTTTTAGGAGTGAAGAAGTAATTTAAGAAAAGTGCCTGAGGCTATTTGTTGTTGTGGTCGTCATGGAAACGATGTTACACACATGCATACCAAGTTCCATCTCCATGCGTGCTACAGTTAGCAAGTTATAGGATTGAAGAAGTAATTTTAAAGAAAAGTGCCTCAGGCTATTTGTTGTTGTGGTCATCATGGAAACGATGTAATACACATGCGTACCAAGTTCCATCTCCATGCGTGCTACAGTTAGCAAGTTTTAGGAGTGAAAAGTGCTTCAGGCTATTTGTTATTGTGGTCGTCATGGAAACGATGTAATACACATGCGTACCAAGTTTCACCTCCATGCGTGCTACAGTTAGCAAATTTTGAGGAGTGAAGAAGTAATTTTAAAGAAAAGTGCCTGAGGTTATTTGTTGTTGTAGTCGTCATGGAAACGATGTAATACACATGTTTCACCTCCATGTGTGCGAGTTTGAGGAGTGAGGAAGTAATTATAAAGATAATCGTCTGAGGTTTCTTCAAACAGTATGCGGTCGTGATGGAAACATGTAGTTGTCATGGAAATGATATAATAGGCATACGTACCAAGTTTCATCTCTATGTGTCCTACCATTAAGGAGTTTGAGACGTGAAGAAGTAATTTAAAGAAAATTGCCTGACGCCTTTTCGAACAATATGCGGTCGTCATGGAAACATGTAATCGTCATGGAAATGATATCATAGGCATACATACCAAGTTTCATCTCTATGCGTGCTACTATTGGAAAGTTTGAGGAGTGAAGAAGTCAATTTAAAGAAAAGTGCCTGAGGCTATTTGTTGTTATTTACAAGCATGTATTGTTGTCATTTTTATGTTGGCTATTGAATACATTGTGTATACAAACTTTAGCTCCCATAACTCTTACCAATTGTGAGTTACACTAACACATGTAGTATGCCCATTATAATGTATGGCCTGGGGCAATTTTGTTGTTGTTTACAAACAAAAAAGTATGACGTTGCACATGTGGTTATCGATATGTACATTCTTACAACATTTCATGGCTTTATCTCTTTCGGTTTTTGAGTTATGCTGGTTTAAGAAGAAGAAGAACAAGAAGAAGAAGAAGAAGAAGATGAACAAAACTCCCTATCAATGCCAATCCCTATATACTAAGTACTACCGTACTTAGTGATAGAAATCGTCCCGGAGGCACATTCCATCGTTATCATTTGCAGAAACGTGGATACAACACAGAAAATTCAAAAAGATGCCCATCAACTCTGCATAGAAAGTGTAGCTCGAGATGCAGCACCCCTGACATACATGCCTGATTGCAGGCAAGCTAAGAGTGCCGCTGAGCAAAAGTAGGCGGGGTTGCTGTGCACTAGCTAGCATGTGTGTCTTGCTTAAGCCGGCCAGAACTTTGCTAGGTCTCTGCAGTCATGTGCCGCGCTACCTGCTAGAAAACCAAGCTGGTTTTTTTGTGGGAAAGAACCGCTCCAGAAGCTCTATTTGCCATCCACACGCTTGGCATTTAAGGCATGGCTTTGTCTGCAAGAACCAGGCCGTCTAGTAGCATCCTCGCTGGCGCTCGCTGACCCGCGGCTTTCTAAATCAATGTGGTTTGCTTGAATCGGCATCTAACTATACAGCGCTGATGCGATGTTGTAGAAAGCATGTAATTTCTTAGCAATCACACCTAATTAATACCTCTTTTGCCATTGCAGCTCATTGTTTGTAAGGGACGAAGATTTTCATACATCTTCCGTACTCATCATCCAGTGTGACTCTGGCCATATCAATGGTGACCTCATTGCGTGTGCTCGCTACCGCATTGACGACATACGAACCAAGGCACTCCTTAGAAGATCGAAACATGTGACACATGTGGTCTTTATCATACACCTTCCAGTCCGTGTTGCTCACTCAACCTTTGTTGGATTTCAAGGAGATCCCTGGGTGTCATGTCACATTGATGAGCTGAGACCCAGTAAGAAGAATGCCATCACCCTCGAGGTGGCCCAGGGAGTTACCGTCAGCCAACTTTTCTATGGAGGACTGGAATATACAGGGCCTGAAAGGCAAACATCAGAAGTATCCAGCAATATGGAAAGTATCGTCTTTAATAGACTGTCAAGTGCAGAAGAGGGTTCAGAAGAAGCAATGGAAGATGAACACAAGATGTTGCAGGGAATCCAAGAGATGAACGTTGAGGTTGAACATTACCTTGAAGATAGTAATACTCAATCTACTGACAGAGCGGAAGGGCCAATAGAAACACAAGAAGAAAGCTCAATTCAATCTGACAGTCCTCTTGGCTTGCAAAAAGCATCAAGTGTGAATTTAACCTCTTCTGGTGTGAACAAACAATGTATTCGTTTAAACAGCTGCATCCAGGCAGCCGCATCTCGCCTGCAGGACTCAACTCGAGACAAACAGAGAGCGGCAGAGAGAGTGCGGCTCTTGATTAAAGTCATCCCACATGACCCCATCTTCCCTCTGGGTAGGTGTCTTTATGGGCTAATTGCTAATTTTTTTTAGGTGCAGTCCCCCATTAAAGTTTGTAGTTTGTGCATTCCTGCAAGAGTACCATATTTCTATACAGAACCAGGGACTTTCTACACGATTCTTGTGTGTCATATTCATCGTATACTTCGAGAGAGAGAGGAAGTCTATCAGGATGATGACTGGGTCCTCAAAGAAGCCATGGATATGCACAATTTGCAGACAGGAGGAACCTTCATGAATGTCCTCACAAGAAAACTGGATGACATTATCATTCCCTGTCTAGCAGAAATTATTGCATTTGTGGACAGGAGCTTTAACTTGAGTCTTCTGCAGCCACACTATTCTCCTCCTTTCTCTCAGTTCTGGCTAAGAATATTTGCCAATAAGAGAGTGGAGGAGGCACTTAGGTTCACTGACTTGGTTGGAAGAGAAAAGGTTGAGATTAATCATGAGAACTTCGCTTGTAAGTTTCCATTTTTCTGGCTGGTGAAGGAGCTCGTAGATTCTCACTGGGATAGTGCACAGAGCACTGGAGGTATATTTGTATTGTGACCCATGAGGGGACTTTTGTTATATGTTACGTTGCAGGTACTCACAAACAGCAGGTACACAGGCAGTTGTGCTTGCTTGTGTCAGACAGTTCATTGGGCGATGTCTTATTGAGCATCCAAGATGGAGGGCAGTGTGAGGAGCTTTACCAATGCTACCTCCATGATTTTGTGTACAGTGTACATAAATGTACTCACCAAAATGTCGATGTGGAATATCAGGTGTGTGTTTAATCACTATACTTATATCACCTTTATGTCTATTGTGCTGCATTGCAGCTGATACAAGATAGTCTTCATTGTTTGGTTGTAAAGAGTCAAGACTTCAGCACAATAGATGCAAATATATCACTTATTGATCGGATTGCAGCTGTACATGTTGTATACCAAACGAATTGTGAATCTATCCATTGGTTTGGTCAGCTCACCTTTCACAGTCCTGGAATATTGGAGGGACTGGCCGAGTCAATAAAACAGACTACAGGCTATGAGGATGAAGTATCGGTATGTGGTAAAGCACATGAATTGGTTAACCCTCAGCGCGCATACGCAGCAAGGGTTACAGTAGTTGTCTCGTGAATGTGTCTGTCTGTTACCAAGTTTTCTGCCACCACGTGCACGAAATCAAATCATGAGGCAAGTAGCGATATGAATGGGTTCAGTGCTACACTGGGTTGTGATTTTCGCAGTCGTTTCAGCAAAACAACCCTTATTTTTTAGGCTCGCGTAGTTCTGAAGCTGCTGGTATTGCTAATAGGCTGCCTCGTAACCGGTAGCACCAGAATAAGCCTCGAATCCTCGCTGCGCGTGCACGCTGAGGGTTAAATAAAGTTGTCCATGCTAGTATGTGTGCCACAGTTAAACACGGTCCACTCTATCAGTTAAATCACCCATACTTGCCAAAAGTACATCACATTTACCGAGGGGTCCGAAACGGGTGGAAATCTCGTATGCTTATGGTCAGAAATCCATAGAAATCAGTTGGAAATCAGGGGAAATCAGCAAAAAGTGGAAATCAGAAATCAGGTTGCCGTGCGTGTGCCGCTTTTCTGCTCCATATAGCTCCGTTCACTATAGTAAACTACAAGGCCAACCCTGCTGCGGCGCGCGCACACGCGAGTCACTCGCTCCGGCCGGCCGGCCACACCGCAGCGCGGTACTGCCCGATCAAGTGTGCACACACATAATACCATGCTTCGGGTTTTGCACAAAACTAAAACGACCAGGGTAGGGCCTTGTTCGCTCAGCCTTGGCCTAGGCATAGGTTTGCTCAGGTGGAAATGCCAGGATAGCAGCCAGAGATGCACGAGAAATAAGAAACTTGTAGAAAATCACTTGGGACTCCTACCACCTAGCCAGCCTACCACACAACTTGAACCTCACGTGATTGAACGGAGCCTTGAGAAGAGTATATCTGAGAACAAGAATGATCACACCACTAACAGTGTTACCTTACAGGCACATAAGTGAGATTGTTTCTGTAACTGGCTATAATTTGCGCAATGCCGTATGTGCGCCGGCACCAGTATTATGGGCCTCAGTGTTTTGTGGCGCATGACTACTGTTCGTTCCAGTAAAGGGAACTCCTCTTTTGGGAGTGTACAGTTATAGGACCCTCGAGAGATCAATAGCCCAGTTGCACGTAAGAGTCAAGGTATTTCATTAATTTTAATCACGTGTGACGTCATTCCCGGTTGCTCCTGGTGGCCAGGAAAATGTATTGCAGTGAACGGAGAAATCGCAACCACCCGTTTTCAAAGTCGCGCAAGGCACGCTCAGTACCGTATATTCACATTTAGAGAGCGCAAGCTAATATTGAAATGTCTAGTGTCTCTGTCGGTCTTTGTCCGAAGCCGAAACGACGAACGGTCGAGGAGTTACACTCGTGTGAAGGTCACACATGCTTGGTTTGTGGCAACACCAAGGCAAAAGATTCGAATGTAACCTTTCACTGTATACCAAAAGGTACAGAAAGAAGAGCGTGGTGGCTGGAAGTGTTTGGTATTTGTGAGGAAGTTGTCAAGGAGAGCACCAGAGTTTGTTGTCGCACTTTCCATGGAGACTGCAGCAATGAACCCAGCACTACTCTAGGCAAGCGCTTTGCTTCTCCGGGCCAAGAGCTAAACGAATGAGAGAAAGGGGAGAGAGAAGAGAGCTCAGTAGGTCTCTCACCCCAAGTCATAATGGCGAAACTAGTGCCTTGTAGGTGTAACTCCTTGACCGTTCGTCGTTTCGGCTTCGGACAAAGACCGGCAGAGACGCTAGAGATTTCAATATTAGCTTGCGCTCTCTAAATGTGAATATGCGGTACTGCGCGCGCCTCGCGCGACTTTGAAAACGGGCGGTTGCGATTTCTCTGTTCACTGCAATACATTTTCCTGGCCACCAGGAGCAACCGGGAATGACGTCACACGTGATTAAAATTCTCATTAAAATTCTTTGCCTAACGCGCAACTGGGCTTAGAAATCACTGGAAATTGGTTGGAAATCAGTAGAAATCACGAGTAATCTGGAAATCTCTTGAAATCACGGAAATCTGAGAAATCACGTGGAAATCTGGAAATCAGTAGAAATCAGTTGGAAATCACGGGCTTTTAGAGATCTCGTACGTCATAACGGCCCGTTTCGTACCCCTCGACATTTACACTGAAGTGCAAACCCTTGGCGAACTGCACATGCACGATACCGCTAATCGATGGGTTGGGCCAAGAGTATGCCGCCTCGTATCCTGTAGTGCCAGAATAAGCCTCGACACACAGACAAACCAACTACTGTAACCCTCGCTGTGCATGCGCGCCGAGGGTTAATTATCATTTTACATACCTTGTATTGGTAGATGCTTCATCTCTATGCTGTGGAGAACACTCTGAGTTTCCTTGAGCCTCCAATAAAGGCAGATAGAGAGTCCCAATTCTCTGATGAGCAGTCTTTAAGACCGTGGTTCAACAATCTGAAGGAATTGAGCAACACTATTGAGTCCGCCCTCAGTCTACCAAGTCAACACCCTATTGCACTCAAAGCAAGGTGCCTATATAGTAGTGTGGTAGTCCATTTCATTAAATGTCCTGTTTTGTGTAGGCTTCATTGGCAGAAGATTAAAGCTATTCATATGTTTACTGAACATGTTATTTTGAATCATTCTAACATGATAGTCTATGCCAGGCGACTTGACCTGGTAAGGACGTGGAACAATTGTGTATAGTGTTAAATAAACTTTCATTCCCATGCAGGCTTTGGGTAGTGAGAGCAGTAACTTCCTAATGTGTTCAACTATTGAGAAAGTGAAGCGAATTCTAAACAACATGGTGCGAAAATTGAAAAGTGAAATGATGTAAGTTAAAATGTGGCGTATCATTTTTATGTATAAAGTGTGCCCTTGTTTTGCAGGGCTAAAGAACAGAAAAAGCCTTTACTTGGTATCAAAAAGAGTTGTACCAATTTTTTCATTGAGGTTGTGTCCAGTTTGTGCTTTGGGCAGTCAAGTGCTCCTGAAGATGCACTGGTCATGGTCCTCCTGGACATTGTCTTCACAGAGCAAAAGGAAGTGGAGGAAGGAGGGGAAGGAGAAGGAGGGAAACGTGGAACTAGAAATCTCACACCTTTCAAGGATGATGTGAAGGACAAGCTGCCAGTTGTCCGCTCGTTCTTACTGCAATTACTACTGGAACATAAGTACGCACTTAATATTTAACTGTGCGACCTCATAATGGTCTAAACTGTTCGCTGTAGTACTGAGAAGGTGAAGTGCCACCTAAAGACCTACTTTGATAGGTGCCAGGAGGCCCTTGTTGGAGGTATGGGAGTGGACCAAGATCTGAGTCTACTCTGTACCCAGTGCTTTGAGGTAACAACAATCGAGGCTCTTTCCATAATTTTATGGATCACACCAATTTCCCCAAAATCACAGAAACAATGCAATTTCATTTTGTAGTCCACAAAAACATGCCACAACCTGTATAAGTTTATGTTTGCTTGACAGTAACAAGGAAGGACAGGAGTCTCCTAATTTGCTCCTAGACGCTAACGTTATAACACGGGTGCTTTCTCTTCAGCTGGGCGTAAATAAGGCTTGTCACCCGCTTGAGGAGAGATTGTAGCTTTCTCTTGCTCAGCCTGCATGTAGAATAGGCAGGCAAGTACACATACTCTCTGTTCCATCAGAGGTTTATTTCAGCAGTAGCTATGCAACAAGAAGCACCATTACTTTAGTAAGGGTTTATGTCCATCAGATCAAACATGGTTGCCATTGAAATCTGTCTGCAAAAGTCTGTAAGCGTTGTGGTTGAAACACTGCCAACAGCGACCATATCCTTTGTAAATAATGCTCCTTATTTTACAGAATTCTATTGACAAAGAATGTTGTGGACTCTCTTTGGAGAGCAAGGCAGATGCTATACTCAAAAGAAACTTGCTAACATCAGCAACAGATACCTTGGTCCAATCGGCTGGTTTTACAGACCACACTATTACATTGGAGGTGTTGGAAAGTGTGGCTACAATGCGGTACTGTCTTCGTGTGGTGGCAGAAGTTTTGCTACTACGTGTTAGTGACCAGGGTCATAGCCTAAATGTTTATGGGCATTTGATCCATCAACTGTTAGAAGGAACCAGGTATAATCATTTACATTAAGGTGTTACAATAATGATGTATTTTTGTGCAGAAATGCTTGTACAGAAAGTAAGATTAACTCCACCGATACTACTGGAAAGTTGAACGCAACAGGCCCTATACTGTTCCTGTTAAAGCTGCTAGTATATCAAGGAGGCTTTTCTTCGCTCACTAAGATTTTAAAAGACCCTCAGTTAAAGTGGATTATACCTAAACAACTTGAACATGATCAGGTTTGCTGAGTGCATCCCACACAATGATGTAAACTCTGAACTAACTCTATTATGTATTATAAATTGTATGCACGTTGAGATTTGGGAAGACTCAGTCAGTATCAGAAAATGAGAGATAGCATAAGGCTGGTAATACCACATGTCTGTGTAAGGGAAAAACTGGTACTGAAGTTATTTTAGGAACACTTACAGATTTACCATTAATTTTTATACCAAAACATTTGGAAGGTGTAACTATTTTGTACATTTGCATGGTTGTGTGTGCAAGATAAAAACTTATGCCTCTTATGGTCCAACAAATATGTAAAATATGTAAATATCCCAATGAGGCAATAAACCTAACCTGGTACCATCCAATGGTCTCTGGTGATTGATTACACTTTGAATACCTCGGACAGTGAAATTATAATTTGTAAAAAACTGATTGGTCGGTTAGCTGACACACCCACAATTTCTTCTGTGCCACGCACATTGCATGCGCTTGCGTATAACGCTAAACAGTGGATCCGCCGAGTAAGCTGACTTGTGCTGTCCTCTCAGCATGTAGGTATGTATACATGCAACGATAATGTACCTGTAAGGAGCTAGGCAAGGCTTACCTCCTTGTCTAGGAGCCACCGTCATGCACTGGGTATAACACAGCTAAAACACACGTTTACTTTGGTCATAGTCCAATTATATGGACCCGCGAACCCATATCTACAGAGTACAACAGACACAAACATAGACCATTGGATTGTACATTTAAGTTGTTGTTTATTTGTTTGAGAACTAATCACTAAACCGGCTGTTCGAGTTTCTTACACTCTTGGTAAAAACTCTTATGTGCTGATGTCCTGTGTCTCTCTCTACCCAACTTCGGTTTCTAAGCACATTGCATGGTACCCGTGTTCTGTGTTGCTATGCTTTATAGCTTGATCTAGTAGTAACCACTGTGTTCGCCAAATGAATATCCCTGTGGTGGTTCCATTTTCGCACAGGAAAAAAAGACCCTTGATCCATTTGTGATGTACAACCCAGCCTATGCTACCATAAGAGAAGATATGAGTGTTGCAGCATATGGCAGAGACTACGAAGAGCTGGAGCAGGACATTGCAGTATGAGTTGCAAATGAAATACTGTATTACTTTGGTGACCATTTCCTATTTTCAGGATTTGCAGCCTCAGGAGTGTGTCCCTCTACTCCTGAGTATATACCAAGTGTATACTATGAGCCGGGCCTCTACGAGTACTGCTAAGCAGCTTTTGCCAGAGGTAAATTTTGAAAAACTTGATATTATGCATACCTACAATATGTATCCCTTCTCTGTTTAGACCATCACCAAAGTAGATTATATGATCCTTAACTGCAACGCTCTCTCTCAAGATGTAAGTGTGGTCAATTGTATTTTAAAGTCGTGTATACTGGCATCAACCAAATTATGTAGATGAAAGTTATGGCAAGAAAGCTGGTATGCAATGATCAAGGAGGTTCCCTAGCAGCCCTTCAGGTCACTGTTAGTCAAAAAACAGCTCAACAATCACTAGGAGCACTGGTGGTGCATGTAGTAGCAACACTCACCAGTAGGAGTAATCTTGATCCCCTCTGTCCTATGGTGACTCTTCTCAAAGCACCTGGAACTCTAGCTGTGAGTTGATTAGCACATTTTTTTGTGTGCCGTAATTTGTGACTAGCCCGTGTATAGTCAGTCTCTCCTACAAGTGGGTAAATAGGTTTTGGCATCTTTGTATATACACAGTGGTAGTTTCATGGGCCGGCTTTAATAATGTTAGGTACAGTCTGGGGCACAGAAATGGAGGCTTATTATGCATTGTGCGTCAGGCAATGCATACACGGCTCTGGTAGGTTCAACAGGTAGCCATGCATGACTCTCAGGGCACATATGAAGTCTGGGAGGATTATGGGCCCACTAGCGTGTTCTGTAGGCATAGTGAGTTATTGTCGCCGAGTTTTGTACGTGGATGAAGTAAGTTTTGGCCAGTGTCATCCCTATCTCTAATGATAATAATAATAATAATGAAAAGCACTGAAGTGCAAACCCTCGGTGCACTGTGACACGCACGCTAAGTAAACGCATGCGCCGTACCACTAATTGATGGGCTGGGTTTAGTTTTAGCTGGTCTCTTGCCAGCTCGCGCAGAGTCTGACGTGGGCTAACTACACTACTAGATAGCATGCGAGAGGCGATATACGCCCTGCGTTGCATCTTCTGGTGCCTCCGAGGTACACAGAGCACGCAGATCGATCATGGCCGTTGTGTATTTGCATATTGGCTTTTTTCGCGCTCTAGCTTTGCAACGGAGCATTTTCAGAGAAAACGCCACAAATTTTCTGACCTTCGTTGCCCGTTGAGTAGGTAGTATCGTTTGTGAGACGAAAAAACATTGGGGAAGTGAGATGTCGAGTAACAGACACACAGAAGGACACACAGACAGACCCAAGTACCGTAACCCTCGCTGCGCATGCGCGCCGAGGGTTAAAAACGGGAGCTACGTAAAAGTTGTGCAAGGGCATTGGCATGGTGAGTTGAAGTAAGCTGGGGTGTAATTTCACAAGCTCTCTTGAAATATCATTTCTCTGAAACCCCTTAAATCCTACTATGTATTGAGGTATTTTGCACCACAAGGTAATTTCAGGCAAAATAGATCAATATTGTTCACTGGATGCCCTATATATACCCTAGTATAGTCAGTAGACTATTAGTATGGTAATTAGTGCGTAATTAACCCTCGGCGCGCATGAGCAGCGAGGGTTACAGTACTTGGTTTGTCCGTCTGTCCGTCTGTTACCGCGTTTTTTGCCACCACGCGCAACAAACAGGTAAAATAGCGACACCAACGGGTTCAGCGCTACACTGGCTTGATTTTTAAAATGGCGATTTTCCTAAAAGTGCCGCGTTCAGAAGTTATGGCGTGAAAACCAAGTGAACAAGCCAATATGCTAATTAGCACTAGCTTACCTCGACCTGATCCGTTTTATCTGTGTACCTCGGAGGCACAAGAAGTCACAACGAAGGGCGTGTATCGACTCCCGCATGCTATCTACTACTGTAGCTAGCCCGTGTCAGACTCTCCACGAGCTACTAGCGGGAGATCAAGGGTAAACGCAGACTAATAGGCCCAGCCCATCAATTAGAGGTACAGCGCATGCGCAGTTCGCCGAGGGTTTGCACTTTAGTGCTTTTCATTATCATTATTAAGGCTTCCATTTCCGCATTCCGTGGTTGTGAATAATTATAATTACCATTCCTTGCCTGCCAGAAACTTTTACCCATTACTGCCCAGTCATACAACTGAGGGCTTGCAAATTTTAAGTGATGGTAGGTGCACATGCATACAACACCTGCAAAGTTCATGAATAGGAGAAAACTTTCATATCTATGCATGGCAAAATACAATCAGAGATATGCGCTTACATAGATAAAAAGTCAGTTCGTACTCCACAGTACACAGCATATTACACTTATGTCATGACTTACACAACACAACACAAAAATTGTAAACAGTAAGTAATTCAGGATGACATATACATGTACAGGTCGGGCAAGGCATTCTGGTTTTTTCACGCGAGCCTTTAGGACGCTTCAGCACCTGTGTTACCGAATTATTGTGCGCAGTTGATAAACATCGCGCCTGTCCTGCCACAGGACTGCAGTAAGCTCACCATGCTGTGTCAATCGGTACTCCCCCACATTGAGCACATTTTTCTTCTCTTTCTTATCAACCTTCAACGCATCAGGAAACCCTTTCCGGTTGACATGCACCGAGAAGATCCAAAAGTAGATATGGAGAGGTATAAAAATTGTCAATGTAAAGGCTGTGCTCTTTTCCTACAGATGGCTCTATCAAGTCCATGACTACCCTGTACACTAGCTAGCCCTTTCGACTGGTCATCTTGTGATGCCCCAGTGTATATTTGGAAACCCTATACATAACCAGTCTTTGCCTCAGCAATAACCCAGACTTTGATACAAAACTTAGTGGGTTTGTTCGGTAGATACTGCAGAATAATAGCGTGCAAACACAGCAGAAAGGTGATCTACTAAGGGACGAATTTTGTACAGAGGATCGTAACCCTCCTCTCCTTTCCTTTTTTGTTTCTCTGGATCAACTAGGTGGAGGTATATACTTCATAATGGCAAAAAACCTATCCCTTGACATGATTGTGGAAAACCAGGGGGTACTCAGAATTTCACTGGTGCTCTAATAGTCCCTGACCTGTGGCAAACACAGTAACCCCATGGCTATGTTGATTCCAATAAATACCTGTAATTCTTCCACAAAAAACTCCAAATCAACACCCTTCTTAGCAACAAATACTTGTGTTTGCGTCACTATGGACTGAAGGAGTACAGTGGTAACAAACAATTGGAACACTTGTAGTGGTGTTGTTTCCTCTTTGTTCTGGGGGTGGGGCCAGTTGGATGAATAAAGGGGGGCAGTTGCTTTGGTGCAGGTGCCTCGATGTTGCCAGATGATTCATGTACTGTCCATCTTAGCTCTTCAGTACCTCTAACAAAAAAGGGAAAAATGGTACACATGATGGGTGGATTAGGTCTGGGGGCATACAGAATGGGAAATGTGGCCAAGAACACATCCTAGTTACATGGATAATGCATCAAAAACTCAACCATACCTGTTGACCACATTGCGTCCTCTGACTACCCCTCCCATGGCTACTGCTTCCCCGATTCTCATAACTGCCTTGGTTACGACCCCGATTACCTCTGCCACGACCCCCGCCACCCCGACCCTCGCCACTACCTCTGCCACGCCCCAGCCACCCCGACCTTCACCACTACCTCTGCCACGACCCCGGCAACCCCGACCCTCACCACGACCCCGGCAACCCCGACCCTCTTCTTCTTCTTCTTCTTTATAACCTCCACTGAAGGAGAGTAGCCCTAGGTGTGGGCGAAGATGAAGTGAATCAGGATAGAAGTCGAGTGCGAGCAGATAGAATATGGTGAAGAAATTCAATGCACGCGTGATGCACGGGGGTGTCGTTCAACCACTCGGTCCCGAGGATGAGCGAGACAAAACGGGTCGGGTCCGAGACACGTACGGAAGCAAGAGGGTGGGGCAGGTCAAATTCGCCACGTGCGGGGGTTAGGGCAGGGCAGTGCAGTGCAGGGCAGTTCGCTATGAGGTGGGAGGCGTACTGGAAGCGACAAACGTCAGATGCTAGCCCACAGCAATTTAGCAGTAGTTTGCTGGAGATGTTTTTCCTAGACAGCATGGGGAAACCTAGGGTGACCCGCCAGTGAGGGTACGGTTTCCTGAGACGAGAAGGAAGAAAAGTGGAGAGAGGACGATGGACACATTCATCAGCATAGACGGAAAAATCAGAGATGGTGGTAATCCGCTGGATCTGGCCCTTCCACTGAGCTCTGGAGACTTGGCTGTTTAGGACGTTGGGGATGGATGGCAGGTCATAAAATTCAACTAGAGATTGAAATGTGGATAGAGAACTAGAGGGCCAGACAACCGCTTCTCAAGGACGATGCGAGGCAGAGAGTCATGGGGGATAGTGGAGAAAGAGTGTAAGTTCAGCTGGCGGCGATGAATCAGGGTACGGATGTTCGCGATTCCCAGTGACTGTCGGAGGGCCAGTGACTTACAGTGGATGGGCATCCCTGTTATCGTGTGCAGGATCTTCCTGTGGGTTCTCTCAACTCTGCCTGTGTGAGAGACCACACTTCGCACCCGTAGATGAGAATAGGGAGGCAGTATACTTTGTACAGGCGCAGGGATGTAAGTGGATGGAGGCAGCCGGCCCGAGACCCAAGACCGTTGAGAGAGAAGAATGCCCTTCTAGAAGAACTGCGAGCATGGCCTGAAGATCAGTGCTGCTGTTTGCGATCAGTGCCAGATCATCCGCGTACATGGGGCTGCCACAGAAGTTGCCGTCAATTGTAGCACCATAGCCTGAGCCGGAGAGCTGAGGTCATTGACATATATGGAATACAAGAGAGGTGACAGAATAGCTCCCTGTCGTACACCTTGACTGATGTTGAATGAGCGGGAGGTGGAGGAATTCCATAACACAGCTGAAATTAATCCTCTATACCAGTTGTGCAGGACGATCGCTTCCTGGAAATCCTTATCATAGTACAAGGCCGAATCCATGTCTACCGGGTCGCAACGACGCAAAAGAGCCCCAGTATATGCTCTCTTGAGAACGTTTTCAACAACCTCTGCATCGTCCTCATCCCCCGAACAGTAGTCGCCACCACTCTCACTGGTGGAATTTGCATAGAGAAACTCATCCTCAGGTAGGCCACAGTGCGGTCTTCTTCCATGGGAATCGAAAAAGAAGTACTGGGTTAATCCGAAGTATCCATATTTTCCGTCTCAAAGCGCGGATAGGGACGGATGGTAGAGATTCTACCGCGAGTCAGCGACACGGAACCGAGAAGACGACCACAGCCACGTGTTTCCCCGTGTTGTGCACCTGCGCAATGGAAATATTCATAAATATTCGTAATACGCACATCACTACCAGAGACTGCTGCATCTATCCTAGGCAGTTTCAAAGAAAAAGATTCTAGATTTTTTTAACTAAATCAATACCTCAGGGCAATAAAGACCCCCTTGGGATTACAGGGGTTTAAAGAGGAATGTAGAATTATAGTGGAAAAGAGCAA